CAGTCTTTGAGCTATTATATTGGAGGAAGTTATGATTCACCTGCACCTTTATTCCTTCCAGGCATGATGTGATGTGAATGATGACATGGCTGCAGAAGGGGTGGGGTCAGTTTGGAGGTAGAGTTAGCAGCATAGCAATGGGATAATTAAAACCGCAAGCAGTGATGAAGGGTCCTTTCACTTTGTGCATGTCGGGGTGTGTCTCGACCGTAGGGAACGCAGCAGCAGCGAGGTGTGGCCAAGGAGCAGGCCAGCAGATCGATTTGTGTAAAAGTGGTACTTGTGGCAAGTTAAAATAGGCAACACAATGAAGTTCATATAATATTTTTATGTAGAGTAGTTCAGGCTGGCACTGTCATGATACCTGTGAAATTTGGAGGAAATCGAACATTTTATAGAGGAGGAAGTACTCACTCCTTGCAGTAGGGGGCGCTATGTTTACAGTTAATTATTTTTATGTGAACGTGTTCAGAGTCCAACCCTGATCATAGCATAGCAGATCAGACGTGGGGTGCATCCGAATTGTCCCTCCTATCTCCTGTCACTATCCACTTTACCTTAACCCCGGAAGCAGTTAAGTGGCGGCCATGATAAGAGCCGTTTGAATTCTCTAAAAGTTAAGGAAAGGTGGGTCAATGCTTCCTTTATAACCCCTTTAGCATAGGATACACTGGACCATCCTTTACCAAAGGAGATGAGATATGCCGCCCCACAACTCCTCGCGGCCGCAACATTTAAAGCGACTCGCGCATCCGACCGTTCACGAACATTAACGATGATCGTAAAGTGACACAGATGATGTGAGGGATAAAAAGATAAGAGACATTTTTATCAGATGATGTTTTATTCAACATATTTCATTCTCTTAAGAATGCTTTGTGCATTTCTTCAGTTGTACATTCTTGTCTTGCATACATGTAACAATTAATTTCATATTTATGTTGATGTTGATTTCTGATTGGACAGGAAGGTGATGGTTTCACTTTTCTTACATATATATAGCCTGGTGGTCTATATTTCTTTTATTTCAATCCCAACCTTGTGGTAATTAGGATTATTTCACCGGTAAGAAGGCACAGAAAGAGTTTTTTAGATGCGTTTTTTGTAGTCCATTTTCAGAACATTGTAGTTTCAACACGGCAGACTCACGTCATTAACCTCCGCCGGCCCGTCCCATTTAATGACGTCGCCTAGTGGAAATGTGGTCGGATTGTCAGAGCAACGAGATCGCCTTTCCCTAAGTCCTTTATGAATTCTCCTAACATCTTTCCTTGACCTCATGACGTTTCCCCAGGGTTAAGGTAAAGAGGATAGTGGAAGGGGACAATTCGGATGCACCCAAAGTATATGAGATGTAGTATACCTCTTTCCAGTAGGGGGCCTAAGGCTAGCTCTGGTTCAATGCATCAAATGGTTACTTTTATGTTTTAATTGCACATGGTCCCTCACAAATAAAGTTAAATTGAAATTGAAAAAAGTAAATCTTCTTCATCTTCATTTTTGTTTGTTAAAGAGGCATTTTGAAAATCAAATGTAATTTGTGGACTTGTTTGATTTTGTTTGATTTTTGGCATGGGTCCAAGAGGCTTTTTTGTAGGTCTTGTCATGATGGATATGCATAGGAAAATTCAAATTGTAGGTTCAACGTGCTGCGGGGGCTGAATGTTTGAAATATTGTAGGGGGCGCCACTGAGCCATTAAGAAATGCCCACTGACTGAAACGGCATCAGATGTTTGACTTTACGACCAGGATTATTTGCATGAAGTTTCGGAACTGTACGGCTATGTTAAGGCCGTCAAAAAACTACTTCCTGTTTGATGGCGAACAATGCGTCCATATGGCGACAGCGTTGGACGTAGGCGTTTGAGCTTGAAAGTCTTGTATGGCCAAGGTGTTAGCATGGTCCACACCAATTTCGAGGGGGAAATGAGCTACCGTGTAGCAATGGCTAGTGCTTATTCAGAAGCAGTAACTTCCTGTTGTCAACAGGTGGCGCTGTGAATAATCAAGAAATTCACTTTGGATACTATTGATAACTGCATAGCAGCGATATAAGCGTTTACTTTTTTGGCAATTTGCCAAAACGCACTGGAAATTTTGAACGCACGCCACGGCCACACTCTTTGACGAAACTCTGCGTCACACAACTACCTATCTTCAACACGTCTAGAACACACTGACACTGAGTTTGGGAAACTCTCGGGCAAGTTCCATGAAATAGGTAGCGCAAAAACTTCTTATTTAGAAATTAAAGTGAAAATAGCGGACTTCCTGTATGTTTAAAAGTATGGTCATAATGTAACTTTTCGTTCGTCTCACCAAGATAATATGCGTACAAGTGTATATGCGTTCAACATGTGGTCCATTCTTCCAAGCCTTGCAGATACAAACCCGCTCACGCTGTCCAGTCCGTTACAGATTGATGTCCACCAGGTCCTAGTCACTATTATTTTAATTCCCCTTTTAACAGTCGGCCTACACATTCTACCAGACTCGGACCCTATCATTCACTTAACTATGCATCTATTCCAGTCATTACTACTACCAGAGAGCACATTAAATATCATAACGCAAAACCGTCCTCAGACACAAATTTTAATAATCTTATACCCATAAACACACATAGACCTCCTTCTGATTCACCCCAAAAGTCCAATGTTAAACAAAACATTTCTTATCAAAGACCTGAATTTAGATAATAGTATTGATTGCATGTTCTTAACATCAGCTCAGCACTGATGGACCTGCAGCACTTACCGAGGCCTCTCTGCCAAATTATCATTTTTCATCATTCTCCTTAAGAAAAGGTAAACAAGTTGGGGGTACAGCCACAATTCTTGCAGCATTATATGGTTTTAAAGACATTTTATTTGATGAGTACACATCTTTTGAATATCACTCCTTCACTTTTAGCAGTCCTCCTACACTATGTTTAACAGTTTACAGACCACCTAAACCAGGGATGTCAAAGTTCTATTGGGTCGGGAGCCGGATTTGTTCAAATGAGACCTCAAGTGGGCCGGACTAATTTTGCCAACATCACTATAACTCAACACATGGATATATAGGCTAATGTATGATTGTATAGAAAACTTTAACATTAAGCAGAGGGGTTAACTGTCATTGCAAACTGCATGTTGGCACATTTAAACTTACCACATTACAGAAGAAAATATCAATAATTATGTTTTGTTTGAGATTATTATATTATGTTTAAATATTACTGTTCAAGGTTATAGAAACTTTGACTCAGGTTATTCTACCTGCCCTGGGATCAGTGCATTACTAGAGAGAGAGAGAGAGAGAGAGAGAGCGAGAGAGACTTTAGATCTGTGTGTGTCAGGCCACAGCACAGTTTGCACTTGTTAAGGTTCATTACAGATAAAACCTGCTCACATGAATAAGTTGTCACAAACAAACAGAGTGTCTTTGATGCATCTTCGGGTATTTTAGTGTGAGGCATTATAAAATGATAACATGTTTCCAAACCAACAGACTTGAATTGATCCTTCAGCGTTGCGCACTGCAGTCTGATCAGCTCCGTGTGGAGTGCACGTTCTTCAACTAAAACTCAGTTAAACGACATTTGATATGAGTCTGGCAGTCCGTTCTTCTTCGTGTCCACAATATCATAATCTAACTCTGTCTCTGACTTTTTTGCGCCATGAATCTGCGCAATTCGAGGAAGCATTTTAGCGCTGCTCCACGTTTAAACCAGCGGGCCTCTGTATGATCGGGCAGCCTGTGCGTGATATCGTTTTTGGATAAGAATGAAATGTTCAGCAATAGTTATAGTTTTACAGTCTGATGAAAGCTGGTGATAAAAGCGCAACAGCAGGCTACTGCATTTAGAAGTGATGTCACGCTGAAACTTTTAGGTGATCAACACAACACGTTCACCTCTGGGTGACCTGAAAAAGAAACATCTGTAAATAAAATCAGTTAATATTCATTTTAATTTACTGTTTTTACAATAACCAGAGGTAAAACTAGTTGGGAGATGCATCAGGCTCAATGCCGGTGTCCGCAAACTACATTCAGTCTGGATGTGTGGAGACGGTCTGGGCCATTACGCATGGCGGAGATGATTGTTTTTATTTGCATGAGCTGCTCTTTGTGGCTCACTCCATAGGAAGCTTTGTTATCATTAGTAAAACTTTTGTTTTACATCAGTCAAGACAGGAGAAACTGGTAAGAAGCGTGCAAAGAACCGAAGACCGTCATGATGCGTGCGCAGTGCAGCGGTTAAGTCCCGTAGCTTTGATGAAATTCTGGCGACTTGTAGGCAAATAAAACTAAAGAAATATCACTCCTTCGATCTCTCTTGAAAACCTGCATTCTGTGTCACCTCTCTTAGGCCTGTTTGCTGATTAGTGTAATGCAGGAGCAGCTCGTGATACTCCCTACTGAGAAGATAGTTCAAAGTGCCCCGTTTAATTAATATTCGTATCATGATCTTACGTTTACGTTGCTCATTTTACATAGGTTTCAATACAATTCGGGGAAAATACGTATTACAAATATTTAACTTATAAAAAAATCTCGAAATATTTTTCGATACATTTCCTCCTTCTTCCCAAAACGTCTCGCGGGCCGGATGAAACCTGCTGTCGGGCCGGATACGGACCGCGGGCCGTATGTCTGACATCCCTGGCCTAAACGATGTACCTCTTTTATCTCTGAATTTTCAGAATTGCTCAGTATTATTCACTCTAATAAGACAGAATTATTATTTTAGGTGATTTTAACTTGCATGTAGACAATCAATCAGACTCCTTTGCATCAGATTTTTTTAACTTAATTAATTGTATGAGTTTTATCCAACACAGCCCACTCACAACAGAGGCCATATTTTAGATCTTGTTATAACCTTTGGCTTGTCAGCAAGCATCTCCTCTGTTGTGGATGTGGGCTTGTCTGACCATTTCTGTGTCTTTTTCACAGTAAATTATTTTAAGCAACAGGAAATTCCCAGAACAGACTGTGAGGAAACGCTATCTTACAACTGAAGTGGCTACAAATTTTAATGATATTCTATTTGAAATTCCCGCAAACATTTTACCTTCCTCTTGTGATTCTATGGTAGACAGTTTTAACAGTAAACTTAGGTCAACGCTTGATACAGTGGCACCACTAAAACTGACAAAAATTACAACAAACCCAACACCTCCCTGGAGAAACAAAGACATAATTCAATTGAAGAGAAACTGTCGAATAGCAGAGAGAAGATGGCGAAAAAACAGACTGAAAATGTATTTTGACATTTTTCGTGAGCAAATGAGCATTTATAACAAAGCAATTAAACAAGCAAGAAGGGCTCATTTCTCAAAGTTTCTCAAAATCCCTGTGAGCAGGTCAAAAATCTAGGTGTCATATTTGACAAAAACCTCAGCTTCCTAACTCATATCAGTTCTCAGTTCGGATGTTACAAAAAAGGCATTTTATCACCTCAATTACATTGCCAGAGTCCGACAGTTTCTCTCTCAAGCCAATGCAGAGACACTTATTCATGCTTTTATCACCTGTAGAATTGATTACTGTAATGCTCTTCTTTCTGGTCTTCCGAAAAAGCATACTTCTTAGTTGCAGCTTCTCCAAAATTCAGCTGCAAGACTGCTGACGAAGACCAGAAAGAGAGCACACATTACATCGATTTTAAAGTCTCTGCATTGGCTACCCCTTTGTTTTAGAACTGATTTTAAGATTATCTTATTGGTTTTTAAAGCTCTTAATGACCTTGCGCACCCCTATTTATCCGATTTGCTTTTAACTTATGAGCCCACCAGAGCCCTCAGGTCTTCTGGTAGTGGTCTTTTAATTGTTCCAAATGTCCAAACTAAAACCTACAGTGAGGCATCTTTTTACTACAATGGCCCCCGTCTGTGGAACAGTTTACCAGGAGACCTGAGGGCAGAACACAATGTAAACATTTTTAAAAGCAAACTCAGGACCTACCTATTTAGTAGAGCCTTTAACTGAATCGCATTTCATCTGTTTTATTACATTTTGAACCTCCGGTGTTTCCTCATTTAGAATAAATAAAAATATTTATAAAAATAGCATTTCCTCAGTACCTGTTCTTATCTAGTTATTTTTACCTTAGTTTTTGAAATGTGGGATAGGGGTGGGGGAGGGAGTCGTGTTGTTGCTGTTTGATTTATGTTGATGTAAAGCACTTTGGGATACGTTTGTTGTATGAAAAGTGCTATAGAAATAAAGTTTGATTGATTGATAGCACAATTAGTATAGGAGGAGATACAAGCCAAAAAAAGGCGGAATAATAATAAATAAAAGAAATAAAGAGCAAAGAGCTGCCAGCTCTCACACTAATAAAGAGCGAAGAAAAACATAAGTGTGAGAGCTGCCAGCTCAAAGACAGACGCTAACAAGAAACATCCAAAAAAAAAAAAAACACAGACCCAAATAATAACTCTTACATACAATTATGACTCATAGTCATCAATGTTGACAATCTCCCAGATGAAGCTTGAGCACCCCCTGTTTGTGCAACCCCATCAAGAGCCCAAACTCAGTGGGCATGGCGTGGAACCTTTTAACTTTTCTGTCATCATAGTAGTGGTTCGTCAGGTCGTAGAGTCCATAGGGGTGATTATCGAAGGGCCAGAACCCATACAGATGCACATTTTCGCAGACCTCCAAAGCTATGCTAGCCATAATTATCCCGGTGCTCAGCCTCCCTGATCGCAAGCCTTTTGCACGCCAGAAGGCAGTCAGTTTTTGCATGTACTCAGGGTTAAAGAAGACAGGCCTAATGGGGCTTCCAAAGTCCTCAATACTGTAGATGGCCCGAATACATAAAGGTACATACATGTTTGGGCTAAAGGCCAAGGCAGGAAGGAGTAGCAGGGAGCTGCTGTAAATATGCAGACTTTCCACAAACGGACGACGACGCATCATCAGAGACTCATACCTGGAGACAAAACAACAGCTTTAAATAAACAAGACAAAAGAACTCTGTAATGACAGTGAAGTGAAATCCAGCCTCTTGCTCACTTCTCCTTGAAGATGCTTGGGTTTGCTGTCACAAGGTCCGTTTTGACACCGACATGCTTCGCATAACTATTTCCCAAAGGAGGAAGGTTGCACCTGAAGAAGCAAGAAAAAAAAGTCAGAGATCTTTTTTATGGAATCTCAACATAAATTATTTTTGACACTGAGTTCACATTGTCACCACAATGGACACCTTTCTCACCTCATGACAAACTGAGCTGAATCAATTCTCTCTCCACATCTGCTGTCAGTCAGGATTCCTCCGTTCCCAACAACAGCACACGTGTCCCATGTTTTATTTAAGAAAGGATGCTCCTGGAATTGTAATCAATGGTTATGTATTACCACATAATGATAATTATACTGATGATATAATACAGTAGATCAAAATTACTGCTGGATCTCATTTGCAAATGTTTCCCTCTTAGAAATTCCCTGCAGCAGGCACCCCTAAAAGAGGTTGCCAGCTGAAATATGGGTGCCCCCTGGAAGTCTTCAGGTTTTAATTTCCAACGTCTACTTGGGCTTCAAACTTGTTTTTAATGGATAAATTCAGCAGTGTATTACTTTGTTGTGAAGTATACTGGCAGCTTTGAACTTGCTGATGACACAGTTGTTAATTTGTGTCGTGAAAATTACACAATACATGCTGTAAGTGGTTAGGGGAACATTTCCTGAGATTTGGATTGAAAAGAGTTCCTCACTTCCAATACCTCATACGTTTTCACTTTATTTAAAAATAAGTGAGTATATTATTTCTTATAAGAACATCAGATGGATTCATGTGGATTTATTGTTCATTTATTTTTCTGTCAACCTGTTTCCAGTTGCAGCATAACAAAGTACACTTGGTTGGATTTTGTTTCAGCAACTAGCAATAATAAACTGGACTGCCATGAAACTTCATACAGAAAATCACAATCCCTTCACAATATTTAAATACCTTAGCAATCCCTCAATTTTTTTATCCAACACGAGCACAACAACATCCACCGTGTCCAGAGCCATGCACCGAGGAGAGTATGAAAGCCTAAGTTAAGAGCTGCTTAGTGTCACTTCCTGCAACTGCAGCACAGTTAGCCACGCGGCTATCAGTGCTATCAGCTGGCTATGCCCAATGTCTGGCTCAAAGGACAGGGATTATATTAGCAAAGGAGCTCTGTTAACCCTTCAGATAGTTTGAGGCATCAAACGCAGGTTTGATGTCTACCAAGTAAAGTTTATACACGCAAGCAGATTTCCACTCCAGGAGCAGAGATGCTCAGGGCAGGGTGTTGCTCAGGTGTGTTGCTGTGTGCAGAAAAACGTATAATTTGCGAGCGGTAGTTAATATTTGCATGTGTGAAATATTATAATTATCTCGCGATTGTAGTTTATCACGCTCAGGACTTTTGATATAAATGAAACCCCATATGTAAGGGTAGGCTACTCTGTTCCAAATGCAACTTTCTAAATTAACAGTTCAGGTTTGTCAAACTCCTTGTAGTTTTATTGTTATTCATTTTATTATTAGCCTCTTTTTGTATTCATTTTGTGTACATTTATTTGTGTAAATACACATGTTAAGTGCATGCTACTTTTTTTTTGTATTTATTTAGTCTTTCAGTTAATCAGCGTGTAATCTTTTAGTCAGACATAACAGGAACAATGAAAATGCCGAACAAGTAGCAGATATTGTGGATGTTTTGGTTTTATTCATGAATGCCTCACAAAATACCTTTGTAAAAGTTCTGAAAACCTCCGGAGACACCAGGTAGCTGCTCTTTCCCCCACCATAACTGAACTTGGATCCCACTGGAGTGTTGGCCTGGGTAATGATGGCTTTGTCAAAACCACTGCACCTGCTGCTCAGCTGAGATCTGGGGAACCACAAGGACTTTGTTAAACCATGTACAAGAGACTCTGAAGTTTTGATGCTCCCTCAGATATTTGTTTTGTTTTTTTAAAAAGAGCAAATAAACATACCAGTTTAAAGTCGTGAATCACATACATTTTTCAAGGATATGATGAGTTTCAGCTATTTGTGACAATCGGACGAGGGCACTCTGACTCATCTTTTCTGAGCTCGTCCTAGGGTAAAACGTCTCTCTTTAGTTACCCAGCTGGTAAAGTTACATGGTAAAGGCCCAAACTGGGATTTTAGAAGAGTGTACATCATTATTTATATCACAATGCAAATGGACTCAGCTGTAACCAAGTTATGTTTGTTGATCTGCACAGGGGCAGACTCAGGTTTCGTGAGAGGCATTGATAAAAACAAGTTTTAAAAAAAGGCACCAGCTGCATGCTGTTGGGCACCAAAACCCAAAAGTTGTGTTGCATTTTTTTTGGAACAAGCCCAAACACTGGTTATAGTTCTATAATCTAATTCATGTTTCATACTGTTTAACCTTTTAATCACACTTGACCATCTTATGAGGCACTATGTTGGGTTTTATTGGTCATGGCTTTTTTGACCTCCTTTACCACCCAGCGTCATGTAACTTAAAAGTACCTAATTCTTACCTACTTTTGAATACTTTTTGTAAATGTCTGTAGTGCACATTAGCTATGGTGACTGGAGATGTAGCATACCATGCTCTGACAATTATGTTAAAAGTTCAAAACCAAGACCATCTTTTTTTTTTACCTGAATTTTTTATGATTGGCCTCCTGCTTCTTCCAGGCTTGAGAGTAATTCTGCATTATTTTATTGATCGTATTACTGTGAAAAAACATACAAATTAAGATACACATAAACAACCAGGTGAGTAATCCCTGTGTTTCGCTGACATGCCTTCATCTGATGGCAGTCATGAACAAAAAAGGTCACATTAGGAAAAGCAGTGACAGTGTTTGCACGCTCACTTGCAGCCTTTGCAGAGGTTAAAGGTCTTGGGGGCTCTTTTCTGCTGAGGGACTGGGAAGTGCTGGTCCACATCGCTGTGGAACAAACAAACAAACAAAAAAGGACAGATGTGATGATTCAGAAGCCAGGCACAAATCATGTTAGCTTTATAATTAGTTTTCATCACTTGAGAACAAAAACCTCTGTTTTGAATGTGCTGTGTTCTTTGTTCAAAACGTACAGAAGACATAATAAATCAGCATTTAACAAGTGAAAGATTTGATGCGATTCTGTAGGAATTTCAAACTCCAACAAACGCTAAAGCGAATGGAGTAATCATACAAACCTCATGAATTCAGTGTTCAGTAACTGTCAACTTCATACACCATGAATGAACAACCAGTAGACAAACTTATGAAGGTAGATATGTTGCAAAATAGGAGAGCTTGTAGAATTCGATGTGAGAAAAAAAGTGAACTTGTATGTAAAAATGTTTACTTGTATAAAAATCCACACACGTGAAATTAATTCCAAGTCACAAATGGGGGGAAAAAATGTGAACCTGTAGAGTTAATATTCACACATGCGTGATCTGAATGTGAAGTCAAAGAAAAAATATTCACAAATGTGTAGACTGATATTTACACTAATAAAATGACAGCTGCAAATTGTAATCCAACATTTACTCACATGTTTTTTATTACTCGTGCCTATTATCCTTTACAACCACAACTCTGCGGTTACAACTTCTCAAAACTGCCGCTACAACTGCAAAAACTACTTTTCTTGCGTGAATCTGCACTGTTTAAGTTTTGCAACACATTTTGTGAGACGTCTGTAGCAAAACAAATTTGTACTTGTACTTGTAGAAATGATTAACACGTCTTCAGAGGCTACTTCCATTTTAGCAGTATGGAGTAGGCTAAAGGGTGCAGAAAACAATTAAAGCAACATATCAGCATTGTGGTTTAGCAGTCTATGTGTGTGTGCACATAGCAAAGGGAAATATCATTTTCACACTTACTTGTCGACTAAGTACCAGATCAGCAGGATCCCCAAAAACATGAGAGTCACCACCAGAGAGAAGAGTAACTTGAGCTGGATCAAAATGAGTAACAATAAAACTGATGTATTAGCATTCCATACCAGAACTATTTTAGTAACTTTGCATGAAGTGCACATACAACAAAGAAAAGTCTGCCTGAAACACTTCCTGGACTTTTTTTTTTCTTTTTCCGTAACTCCGCCACACGAATGTTAACCAAGAAGCAACTTCAAGTGCTCAGAAAGTCAGTAAAGCTGAAGTGCCAAAACTGCAGTTCCTGATGAGAGGCCACATGGAGCTGGTTCAAAAAGCAAGTAAATCCCAGTACTGATCCCAGTGGCTGATTTCTCAAGTTGTAACAACTGGAAAGATAGTTCATTTTCAATAACTTACTGATTATGTTTTATGTTCAATACCAATTTAAATCCTGCTTAATTTGGACTTTGGTGTCTAATAGCTCCTGTTAGAAGTTTTTAAACTTTTGATCAAACTGACCAAAATACATATTAATGCCTCTTTTTGAACTACAAAAGCAAAATAGACCATCAGCTAAAGATGAACTATTTCTATATTGTAGATTTTTTTTATGCCTGTAACTGCTGCCACCGGGTAGGAGTCAGATAAGACAATTGACATCTTGATACAATACTGTATGGCTACTGTATTCATGATCTTGTTACTGGTTTGTTGTGTAACACAGTTTGTCTTTTGAATTCCCAGATAGTCCCACGTGCTCGATTGTAGACGGTTGCAGCGTGTCATGTTTTAAAGTTTGGGTTATAATGCTACATTTTAATTCATAATGATGCATTATAATGTAAACCATTAAGGATAAAATATCCAGTTTTTATATTATCAACTATAAGAGAATGGCTGTTACTTGCAAACCACATATGAGGAACCACAAGCGTTTGTTTCTAGGGACTGCTGAGAAGAAGGTGAACCTGATGCTAAAGCTGAAACTACCTTTCTCCCATGAACACTTACTCTCTCACATAATTGACATTAAAAACATATATTTAATAACTTACAAGCAACAGAAAGAGCTGATTCTTACCTTCATGGTCCAGTTAAGGAAGTTGCTCAATGTTTCTCTCTTGTGTTTTACTGCCTGAAGCCTTGTCGGACCTCAGAAGCCACACAAAGCCAAAGTACAGTATCTGCAAAAATGCCAATTGATTAGATTAAAGTGAAGTGAATTTCAAGCATATTGTAATTTAACCTTTAGGTTAACCATTTTCGTTTTATGACTATAACTGCACTTTGCCTTTGTTTTACTGCTGAATAATTATATGGTCACTGATGGGCTACAATTGATATTTGCAGCCCCCTCTCTTTTTACAACCTTTGAAGCATAACCAAGGACTGTGGATTAATATCCGTTGATGCCTACCAAGAACAAAGGAACTGATTAACGAATTGAAAGTCTCTCTCTCTCGGACAAGCTGCATCTGGAGTACATGTCATACCTGTCAAATAAGCCAGGGGTGTAGTGGAGTTTTGGCTTTCATCAACAGCAGGTGGTTTGGTGTTAAGGCGTCAATGTCATTCGGATCGTCAGAGACTCTTGTGATGGGGCAACTATTGATTAGTGCCTCCACCTCGCACAGCAAAGTGTGTAGCCCTTCCTCATCGATTGTTTGCTGTTTCATGACAGAGTTCAGTACTTTTCTTATTGTGCGTATCTGCCGTTCCCATACTCCATCAAAATGAGATGCAGCAGCTGGGTTGAATAACCATGTGATACCTTTTGCATCCAAGATGTCTTGAATCTCTGCATTATCCAAAGCCTGCCCTGCTTCCCGTAGCTCACTTTCTGCTGCCACAAAGTTTGTTCCATTATCAGAAGGCAGTGTTTCCCCTACCATTATATTAGGGGGTAAGCAGAGAGCATGACAGCTACTTTACTGACTTTGCGGCTATTTTTAAGCCATTTTAATCAGACACAGCCATAAATAAATAAAACAATAAAATAGACGCCCGCATATTGGAGAGCAACACAGAGAACATGACAGCTACTTTGTGGCTTATATTGAGCCATGAGTCAGATACAGCCATGAAACTCTGGATTTCTCCATAATGAAGGTTGTCAGCATTGTGTACCCGCGTGCTTGTGCTCGTGCATGAAGTGCTTGAAGTGGAAATACTGGAAAGGATCCACAAGCCGGATTTGATTTCCAAGTAAAACCCGAAATATCTTTTGCAGCCCGAGCACTGTACTATCCACTTCCATTCACTTCTGTAGTGCAAATGAGTGATAGGGGTTACCGTGCACCCCTTTGATTTCCTGATTATTTGAGCTACATTTATTCAACCCTCAGGTCACCAACATTTGACAAAAGACACAATGGTAGCGTAGCAGACTAGAGATTCTCAGAAACAAACTTAGCATCTCTTAACTTAAGAATCTTTTTTCCTCAACAATGGCAAGTAAAAAAGTCATACCTTAAGTTAAAGTAGCTATTGTGATTCCATTCTAATGAATTTACATAATGTGTTAGCTTAATAAGAACTGAGATGTACATCCCTCCATCTGTGAGTAATAGTGGCTTATATGCCCTTCCACTCAGTTGAAGCCAGTCAGCAATCACAGGTAGGCAAGGTCTTCAAGTTACCAGCTCTATAACCGACCACCAGAGGAAGCCAAAACTCTGAAACAGAAACAGAAACCTTTATTCCTTTACTCCTTCCAGGCAGGTGATGTGATGTGAATGATGACATGGCTGCAGAAGGGGTGGGGTCAGTTTGGAGGTAGAGTTAGCAGCATAGCAATGGGATAATCAAAACCGCCAGCAGTGATGAAGGGTCCTTTCACTTTGTGCATGTCGGGGTGTGTCTCGACCGTGGGGATCGCAGCAGCGAGGTGTGGCCAAGGAGCAGGCCAGCAGATCGATTTGTGTAAAAGTGGTAGTTGTGGCAAGTTAAAATGGGCAACGCAATGAAGTTCATATAATATTTTTATGTAGAGTAGTTTAGGCTGGCACTGTCATGATACACCTGTTGGTGACTGTTGGAACCACAGGAACACATTTCCATTGGAGTCTTCATGTTCGTGAGAAGCTTATGCCTTCTCTGGAATTGAACCCAGTATCTTCAAGTTAGGTGGATTTGCCAGCAGCCAATGCGCCACAGTAAAGACAAAGATTCGGCATGCATTTTCACTATATGAAGCAATGACAGCACATGGGGAAAACTAAAAAAAAATCGTACAATATCCTGATGTCTTCCTGAGGGCTGTTGACAAGTTTGTTTAAGTTTGATCAAACATTTAACGAAATAGAAAATGTTTTGCCTACAGTAAGGATTACAGTAAAACGTTTACTGTCTTTACAGGCACACCGTTTAACCGATCTTCACAAAATTTGATATCCTAGGCTGTGGAGTGTCTTACCGATGTCTGTACTAATTTTGGTATGATTGGAGTACAGTATTGATGAGTTACAGTAGTTAATTGATTATGCATATTTTGAAAAATATAGTGTGATGAACTTCTGAATTGACCATAGGTTGCGGCACGTGAAATGATCAGAAGTATTCAAGGAACACGCTGTGCAAATATTATTTTCGTAGGGCTAACGATTAGCAACTCATTAGCATTTAAAGCAAAACGCTTATTATTTCACCACATGGTGGCGCTATGAGTATGATCTTAGTATGTTAAGCATGCTACCATTAGGGACCATATTATGAGCTTTCAAAAATGTGTCCCATAGGGTTCCATTCATTTTTTTTACAGTTTAAAATAGTCACATTAAATCACTGTAACATTTAAGCATCACTACAAGTAATAGCGCACTTCTACCATTTTAAGTTGGAACCAAGTTTCTAGCACAATTAGTATAGGAGGCAAGTGATAGCAAAAGGGAGAGCCATTATTGCTTTGGTGAAGCACAATGGAGAAAGTCTAAACTAATTAGAAGACTGTGGTTCGATTCCCGGGTGTCCCCGAAATATTAGGCTACAACCATCGGTGCACCATTGCATGCTTTCAAATTACATCTTGACACACACCAGAGTCCAGGTGCTGTTGGATATTTATACTACAAAGGCTGAATACCAGAAGCTCCGCCACAATCGGCAGATACCTCCACTCTCTCTGGAGGTGAAGCTGCCCTTGAATTCTGTCTTGGCTTCAGTTCCTGGCCCTTTCGACAAAAAAATGAAAACATCATTTTTCGATTAACTGAGTAAGATCCTTGTTGTGAAGCCTACATGTCTCAGCCAGGCTAAGGATTTTGGTAATCGGACATTTAAACTGTGTTAAATCAAGTTTGTTGGACACATGCTGCCTACACAGGCGCCAATAGCTACCTAGGCTACCCGGATGAACGACAGGAGTGTTGCTTGTACAAGTTAACTTTGGACAATAAATATTTATCAAATGTCTGTGTGTGGAGACTGCAATCTCCAATACTCACGATTAAAGGAAGATCTTTTCCTCCGCCTGAAATCGGAACTCCGGAAAAAGGAAGAGATAATTGACATCTCAATTCCGGCGGCCCAGTCAAGGCCCAGTCTCCAGCTTTGCTGCCCCGATTGCCAATTTGTCCTCTGCCTTGGGCCCGCAGCTGGTCTCAGCCTCCATAACCACTCTTCCCTGGCTGACCTCGATGCACACCGGTACTGAGCCTGTCTGCTCCGAGGGTCCTGCTGCCGACATCAGTGGCCACTCTCCCAAAGTACGGCTGGTTTCAAAAGTGGCTGACCACTCATCCACTGCCGCTGCTGTGGATATAGACGGTAAAACTCTGAGGCTTCCAGATGATCCCGAGATCAGCGCTGAAACTGGCCACCTGATCCCGGCGCACAGTTCCACACCAAAGCCACCCCTGCTGTCCTGGTCAAAGGTGGTACAACGCGGCCTGGAAGACGGACCCGGCACCTGGGACCAACCTTACTTATTGGAGATTCCATAATCAGGGATATCCGCTACTTTAACGCCATTACTCACTGTTTCCCTGGTGCCACTATCCAAATGATTTTAGATAAACAGCTGCACTTACTTCCCTCTCTCTGCATGTCGGGACAAATGACACCTCCCGCTCCTGTCGGCAATCGGAATTCACAAAAAAAGATTTTAACCTCCTTTTTGAAGTTCTAAAGGATACCGGAAAGTCTGTTTTTATTTCTGTACCAATTTCCATAGTTGGCCGCGGGGGTGAGCAATTCAGTCGTATCCTCAGTCTGCACACCTGGCTCCAATCCGCATGCGCTTCCCGAAACATGTTTTTTGTAGACAATTTTAACTTGTTATGGGATCATGCATCACTTTTTAAACAAGACGGAATTCATCCCAACAGAGGGGGTAGTCGTATGCTGTCAGCAAACATTCAACATGTGGTCCATTCTTCCAAGCCTTGCAGATACAAACCCGCTCATGCTGTCCAGTCCGTTACAGATTGATGTCCACCAGGTCCTAGTCACTATTATTTTAATTCCCCTTTTAACAGTCGGCCTACACATTCTACCAGACTCGTACCCTATCATTCACTTAACTATGCATCTATTCCAGTCATTACTGCTACCAGAGAGCACATTAAATATCATAACGCAAAACCGTCCTCAGACACAAATTTTAATAATCTTATACCCATAAACACACATAGACCTCCTTCTGATTCACCCCAAAAGTCCAATGTTAAACAAAACATTTCTTATCAAAGACCTGAATTTAGATAATAGTATTGATTGCATGTTTTTAACATCAGCTCAGCACTGATGGACCTGCAGCACTTACCGAGGCCTCTCTGCCAAATTATCATTTTTCATCATTCTCCTTAAGAAAAGGTAAACAAGTTGGGGGTACAGCCACAATTCTTGCAGCATTATATGGTTTTAAAGACATTTTATTTGATGAGTACACATCTTTTGAATATCACTCCATCAATTTCAGCAGTCCTCCTACACTATGTCTAACAGTTTACAGACCACCTAAACGATGTACCTCTTTTATCTCTGAATTTTCAGAATTGCTCAGTATTATTCACTCTAATAAGACAGGATTATTATTTTAGGTGATTTTAACTTGCATGTAGACAATCAATCAGACTCCTTTGCATCAGATTTTTTTAACTTAATTAATTGTATGAGTTTTATCCAACACAGCCCACTCACAACAGAGGCCATATTTTAGATCTTGTTATAACCTTTGGCTTGTCAGCAAGCATCTCCTCTGTTGTGGATGTGGGCTTGTCTGACCATTTCTGTGTCTTTTTCACAGTAAATTATTTTAAGCAACAGGAAATTCCAGAACAGACTGTGAGGAAACGCTATCTTACAACTGAAGTGGCTACAAATTTTAATGATATTCTATTTGAAATTCCCGCAAACATTTTACCTTCCTCTTGTGATTCTATGGTAGACAGTTTTAACAGTAAACTTAGGTCAATGCTTAATACAGTGGCACCACTAAAACTGACAAAAATTACAACAAACCCAACACCTCCCTGGAGAAACAAAGACAATTAAATTGAAGAGAAACTGTCGAATAGCAGAGAGAAGGTGTTATGACATTTTTCGTGAGCAAATGAGCATTTATAACAAGGCAACAAGCAAGCAGATAACTGCAGACCAGTATCTAACCTGCCATTTAAGTAACATTTTAGAAAAACTTGTATTTATTCAGTTACATGATTTTGTGAACTCCAGAAGCACGTGGGAAATGTTTCAATCTGGGTTTAGAAAGAATCACAGCACAGAGACGGCGCTAGTTAAAATTGTAAATGACCTCAGCTCTAAATGGATAAAAAATGCCTGTTTTAGTTCTACTTGACCTGAGAGCAGCCTTTGATACGGTAGACCACACAATTCTTTTAAACAGACTCCGTAACATCGTTGGCATCTCTGGTATTGTTTTTAACTGATTTGAATCATATCTCACTGAAAGAAAATTTTACATAAGTATGGGTGAATTCTCATCTGGAGTTTATAAAATGAAATTTGGTGTTCTCCAGGGTTTTTAACCTTTATATGTCATCAGGAGGCACGGCATTCATAGTTATGCTGATGACACACAGCTCTACATTGCTGTGTCACCTGATGACAAAGGGCCAATTGATGCCCTTTTTAAATGTATTTTAGATATTAAGTTATGGATGGCAGACAACTTTTTATAGCTCAACCAGAACAAAACTCAGGTTTTAGTTATTGGTACAGGAGTCCAGAGAGAAAAAACTGAATGACAAACTCCAAGTCTTTTAATCCCTGTGAGCAGGTCAAAAATCTAGGTGTCATATTTGACAAAAACCTCAGCTTCCTAACTCATATCAGTTCTCAGTTCGGATGTTACAAAAAAGGCATTTTATCACCTCAATAACATTGCCAGAGTCCGACAGTTTCTCTCTCAGGACAATGCAGAGACACTTATTCATGCTTTTATCACCTGTAGAATTGATTACTGTAATGCTCTTCTTTCTGGTCTTCCGAAAAAGCATACTTCTTAGTTGCAGCTTCTCCAAAATTCAGCTGTAAGACTGCTGACGAAGACCAGAAAGAGAGCACACATTACATCGATTTTAAAGTCTCTGCATTGGCTATCCCTTTGTTTTAGAATTGATTTCAAGATTATCTTATTAGGTTTTAAAGCTCTTAATGACCTTGCGCACCCCTATTTATCCGATTTGCTTTTAACTTATGAGCCCACCACAGCCCTCAGGTCTTCTGGTAGTGGTCTTTTAATTGTTCCAAATGTCCAAACTAAAACCTACGGTGCGATAGAAATAAAGTTTGACTGATTGATTGTTTGATAGCACAATTAGTATAGGAGGAGATACAAGCCAAAAAAAGGCGGAATAATAATAAATAAAATAGGTGTGAGAGCTGCCAGCTCAAAGACAGACGCTAACAAGAAACATCCAAAAAAAAAAAAACACAGACCCAAATAATAACTCTTACATACAATTATGACTCATAGTCATCAATGTTGACAATCTCCCAGATGAAGCTTGAGCACCCCCTGTTTGTGCAACCCCATCAAGAGCCCAAACTCAGTGGGCATGGCGTGGACACTTTTAGCTTTTCTGTCATCATAGTAGTGGTTCGTCAGGTCGTAGAGTCCATAGGGGTGATTATCAAAGGGCCAGAACCCATACAGATGCACATTTTCGCAGACCTCCAAAGCTATGCTAGCCATAATTATCCCGGTGCTCAGCCTCCCTGATCGCAAGCCTTTTGCACGCCAGAAGGCAGTCAGTTTTTGCATGTACTCAGGGTTAAAGAAGACAGGCCTCATGGGGCTTCCAAAGTCCTCAATACTGTAGATGGCCCGCATACATACAGGAATGTATTGGCGTAAGGCCAAGGCGGGAAGGAGTAGCAGGGAGCTGCTGTAAATATGCAGACTTTCCACAAACGGACGACGACGCCTCATCAGAGACTCATACCTGGAGACAAAACAACAACTTTAAATAAACAAGACAAAAGAACTCTGTAATGACAGTGAAGTGAAATCCAGCCTCTTGCTCACTTCTCCATGAAGATGGTTGGGTTTGCTGTCACAAGGTCCGTTTTGACACCGACATGCTTCGCATAACTATTTCCCAAAGGAGGAAGGTTGCACCTGAAGAAGCAAGAAAAAAAAGTCAGAGATCTTTTTTATGGAATCTCAACATAAATTATTTTTGACACTGAGTTGACATTGTCACCACAATGGACACCTTTCTCACCTCATGACAAACTGAGCTGAATCAATTCTCTCTCCACATCTGCTGTCAGTCAGGATTCCTCCGTTCCCAACAACAGCACACGTGTCCCATGTTTTATTTGAGAAAGGATGCTCCTGGAATTGTAATCAATGGTTATGTATTACCACATAATGATAATTATACTGATGATATAATACAGTAGATCAAAATTACTGCTGGATCTCATTTGCAAATGTTTCCCTCTTAGAAATTCCCTGCAGCAGGCACCCCTAAAAGAGGTTGCCAGCTGAAATATGGGTGCCCCCTGGAAGTCTTCAGGTTTTAATTTCCAACGTCTACTTGGGCTTCAAACTTGTTTTTAATGGATAAATTCAGCAGTGTATTACTTTGTTGTGAAGTATACTGGCAGCTTTGAACTTGCTGATGACACAGTTGTTAATTTGTGTCGTGAAAATTACACAATATATGCTGTAAGTGGTTAGGGAAACATTTCCTAAGATTTGGATTGAAAAGAGTTCCTCACTTCCAATACCTCATACGTTTTCACTTTATTTAAAAATAAGTGAGTATATTATTTCTTATAAGAACATCAGATGGATTCATGTGGATTTATTGTTCATTTATTTTTCTGTCAACCTGTTTCCAGTTGCAGCATAACAAAGTACACTTGGTTGGATTTTGTTTCAGCAACTAGCAATAATAAACTGGACTGCCATGAAACTTCATACAGAAAATCACAATTCCTTCACAATATTTAAATACCTTAGCAATCCCTCAATTTTTTTATCCAACACGAGCACAACAACATCCACCGTGTCCAGAGCCATGCACCGAGGAGAGTATGAAAGCCTAAGTTAAGAGCTGCTTAGTGTCACTTCCTGCAACTGCAGCACAGTTAGCCACGCGGCTAGCGGTGCTATCAGCTGGCCATGCCCAATGTCTGGCTCAAAGGACAGGGATTATATTAGCAAAGGAGCTCTGTTAACCCTTCAGATAGTTTGAGGCATCCCGAATCTACCACGTAAGGTTTATACGCGCAAGCAGATTTCCACTCCAGGAGCAGAGATGCTCAGGGCAGGGTGTTGCTCAGGTGTGTTGCTGTGTGCAGAAAAACGTATAATTTGCGAGCGGTAGTTAATATTTGCATGTGTGAAATATTATAATTATCTCGCGATTGTAGTTTATCACGCTCAGGACTTTTGATATAAATGAAACCCCATATGTAAGGGTAGGCTACTCTGTTCCAAACGCAACTTTCTAAATTAACAGTTCAGGTTTGTCAAACTCCTTGTAGTTTTATTGTTATTCATTTTATTATTAGCCTCTTTTTGTATTCATTTTGTGTACATTTATTTGTGTAAATACACATGTTAAGTGCATGCTACTTTTTTTTGTATTTATTTAGTCTTTCAGTTAATCAGCGTGTAATCTTTTAGTCAGACATAACAGGAACAATGAAAATGCCGAACAAGTAGCAGATATTGTGGATGTTTTGGTTTTATTCATGAGTGCCTCACAAAATACCTTTGTAAAAGTGCTGAAAACCTCCGGAGACACCAGGTAGCTGCTCTTTCCCCCATCATAACTGAACTTGGATCCCACTGGAGTGTTGGCCTGGGTAATGATGGCTTTGTCAAAACCACTGCAGCTGCTGCTCAGCTGAGATCTGGGGAACCACAAGGACTTTGTTAAACCATGTACAAGAGACTCTGAAGTTTTGATGCTCCCTCAAATATTTGTTTTTTTTTTTAAAAAGAGCAAATAAACATACCAGTTTAAAGTCGTGAATCACATACATTTTTCAAGGATAGACTTAATATGATGAGTTTCAGCTATTTGTGACAATCGGACGAGGGCACTCTGACTCATCTTTTCTGAGCTCGTCCTAGGGTAAAACGTCTCTCTTTAGTTACCCAGCTGGTAAAGTTATATGGTAAAGGCCCAAACTGGGATTTTAGAAGAGTGTACATCATTATTTATATCACAATGCAAATGGACTCAGCTGTAACCAAGTTATGTTTGTTGATCTGCACAGGGGCAGACTCAGGTTTCGTGAGAGGCATTGATAAAAACAAGTTTTAAAAAAAGGCCAACCAGCTGCATGCTGTTGGGCACCAAAACCCAAAAGTTGTGTTGCATTTTTTTTGGAACAAGCCCAAACACTGGTTATAGTTCTATAATCTAATTCATGTTTCATACTGTTTAACCTTTTAATCACACTTGACCATCTTATTAGGCACTATGTTGGGTTTTATTGGTCATGGCTTTTTTGACCTCCTTTACCACCCAGCATCATGTAACTTAAAAGTACCTAATTCTTACCTACTTTTGAATACTTTTTGTAAATGTTTGTAGTGCACATTAGCTATGGTGACTGGAGATGTAGCATACCATGCGCTGACAATTATGTTAAAAGTTCAAAACCAAGACGATCTTTTTTTTTTTACCTGAATTTTTTATGATTGTCCTCCTGCTTCTTCCAGGCTTGAGAGTAATTCTGCATTATTTTATTGATCGTATTACTGTGAAAAAACATACAAATTAAGATACACATAAACAACCAGGTGAGTAATCCCTGTGTTTTGCTGACATGCCTTCATCTGATGGCAGTCATGAACAAAAAAGGTCACGTTAGGAAAAGCAGTGACAGTGTTTGCACGCTCACTTGCAGCCTTTGCAGAGGTTAAAGGTCTTGGGGGCTCTTTTCTGCTGAGGGACTGGGAAGTGCTGGTCCACATCGCTGTCGAACAAAAAAAAAAGGACAGATGTGATGATTCAGAAGCCAGGCACAAATCAGATAATGTAATCAGGGGCGTTACACTACATTCTGAATCTGCATATAGACTATGCTATGAACCACTCCCCACATTTCCAGTTATTAATAGTTACTTTGTGGTAAGACACTCCTCATGCCAACACAAAGAAAATCACCCATAATCCAAAAGCTCACATCATCAATTCAATCAATCAATCAATCAATTTTTATTTGCATAGTGTCAACTCATAACAAGTGTTATCTCGAGACACTTTACAAAAAGCAGGTAAAATACCTTACTCTTTGTCTTTTAACATTACAAAAAAGCAGGTAAAAGACCTTACTTATTGCTATATTACAGTAGCTGTTCTGGCAGGCCGTCAACCAACGAGCTTGAGGAGCCAAAGAGAGCTCAAGAGCTCCCAGGAAAGTAGGTGGTTAGTGACTGAGATTTACAGATAGATACATGCAGTAATATGATGTACTCTATGTGCACAGAGAGAGAGCGAGAGAGAGAGAGAGAGAGAGGAGCTCAAGGTTCCAGTTCCCCTGGTAGTCTAAGCCTATAGCAGCATAACTAGGAGCTGGTCTACACCAGCACCAGCCCTAACTATAAGATTTACCAAAAAGGAACGTTTTAAGTCTATTCTTAAAAATACAGACTGTGTCTGCCTCCTGGCTGGAAGATGATTCCAGAGGAGAGGAGCCTGATAACTGAAGGCTTTACCCCCCATAGTACACTTAGAGACTGTAGGTACCACTAGTAGGCCCGCATTCTGGGACCGTAATGTTCTCGAAGGGTAGTACGGCACTAGTAGCTCCTTAAGTTAAGATGGTGTCTGGCCATTTAGAGCTTTGTAAGTGAGAAGAAGGATCTTGAATTCTATTCTAGACTGTATAGGGAGCCAGTGCAGACAAGCCAACACAGGAGTAATGTGGTCCCTTTTCCTAGCTCAAGTCAGTACACGAGCTGCAGCGTTCTGGACTAGTTGAAGAGTCTTTAGAGACTTACCATAGCACCCTGACAAAAGAGAATTACAATAATTCAACCTGGAGGTAACAAATGCATGAACTAGTTTTTCTGCATCATTTTGCGACAGGATATTCCTGATCTTAGATATATTACGAAGGTGAAAATACGCTGTTCTTGAAATTTGCCTGATGTGAGAGCTAAAGGACATATCTTGATCAAATAGAACTCCTAGATTCCTAACAGTGGTGCTAGATGCCAGGCTGTTGTCATTAAGGACAGTCAAATCACTAGAAAAAGTCTCTCTGAGGTTTTTAGGGCCTAGCACAATAACATCAGTCTTGTCTTAGTTAAGTAGCAAAACATTTCTGGTCATCCAGGTCCTAACGTCCTTAAGGCACATTTCTAGCTTACATAACTGACTGGTGCCATCGGGTTTCATTGATACGTAAAGCTGAGTATCATCTGCATAACAATGAAACTGTATGGAGTGTTTCCTTATAATATTTCCCAGAGGAAGCATATATAATGTAAAGAGAATTGGTCCAAGCACTGAGCCTTGTGGCACTCCATGGCTTACTTTGGTGTGCATAGAGGACTTAACATTAACATGTACTAACTGAGATCGATCTGATAAGTAGGATTCAAACCAACTTAAAGCAGTCCCTGTAATTCCAAGTAAATGTTCTAGTCTGTGTAATAGGATATGATGGTCAATAGTGTCAAAAGCAGCACTAAGATCTAACAAGACGAGCACGGAGAGAAGTCCCCTGTCTGAAGCTAGAAGTAGATCATTTGTAACTTTAACTAGTGCAGTCTCAGTGCTATGGTGGACTCTAAACCCTGACTGAAACTCCTCAAATAAACAGTTGTCATGGAGAAAGTTACACAGCTGATTAGCTACCACTTTCTCCAGGATCTTTGAGATAAAAGGAAGGTTGGATATAGGCCTGTAATTAGCCAGAGTTCCTGAGTCCAGAGTAGGTTTTTTGAGTAGAGGTTTGATTACCGCTACTTTAAATGCCTGGGGTACATAGCCTGCCAGTAAAGACATATTGATCATATCTAATATAGAGTTGCTAACTCAGGGAAAGACTTCCTTAAACAGCTTGGTTGGGATTGGGTCTAAAAGACAGGTTGACGGTTTCGACGCAGTAATAATAGAATATAGCTCTGAAAGGTTGATTAGAGAAAAACAGTCAAGACTAATATCTGGTCCCGGAACTGTCTCTGCCATATCAGACGTATCTGCACCAGGTAAGGGCAGGAGGTTACCAATTTTGTCTCTGATGTCTAAAATTTTGTTGTTGAAAAAGCTCAGGAAATCATTACTGCTGAGGGCTAAAGGAATACAAGGCTCAATGGAGCCATGACACTCTGTCAGCCTGGCTACAGTGCTGAAAAGGTATCTAGGATTGCTTTTGTTTTCCTCGATTAGAGAGGAGTTGTAGGCAGCTCGAGCGTGACGTAGAGCCTTCATATATTTTCTGTGACTATCCTGACAGAACAAACGAGATTCTACCGTTTTGGTCGAGCGCCATATTCTTTCAAAATTTCGCGACGTTTGTTTTAGAGTACGGGTTTCTGAGTTGGACCATGGAGCTAGCCTCTGCCGTTTCATAACCTTCTGTTTTAGGGGAGCAATCGAATCAAGAGTAACTCTCAGAGAATCCACTGCACTATCAACAAACTGATCTAGCTGAGAGGGACTAAAGCTATCATAAGAGTTTCCAACTGGGTTGAAACACAGTACTGAATCAAAAGCAGCTGAAATAGCTTCATTAAATCTAGCTACAGCACTATCAGATAAACTTCTAGAGAGCACATTTTTATTAAGCAGAGATAATTCTGGTAGGACAAAGTCGAAAGTAATAAAAAAAAAGGTCTGATAGAAGAGGATTTTCTAGAAAAACTATAAGGTTTTGGATTTCAATGCCATAAGCTAAAACAAGATCCAGGGTGTGGTTAAAATGATGAGCAGATTCGTTTACACCCTGGGTGAAACCAATAGAGTCTAATAGTGACATGAAAGCTGTGCTCAGGCTATCATTATCAACATCCACATGGATATTGAAGTCACCTACAACAATTATTCTATCACTGCTAAGGACTACATTTGATAAAAATTCTGCAAATTCAGATAGAAATTCAGAATATGGGCCAGGAGGGCGGTAAACTACAAAACTAGAACTGGCTGAAAGTTTTTCACATCCAGTCTCAAGAACCTAAGAACAAGGCTTTCAAAAGAAGAAAAAATTAGCTTTGGTCGAGGGTTAACTAGAAGACTAGAATTAAAAATAGTTTAATAATTCATTTAAACTAACATATTCATCTCGACGCAGCCAGGTTTCAATCAAACAAAGTAAATCAATATTCTGATCTGATATCAGATCATTCACAAAAAGAGATTTGGATGCTAAGGACCTAATGTTCAAAAGTCTGCAGTGAATTTTCTGATTTTTTTGCAAAATCATATTCGTAGTCTTGATTCTAATGAGATTTTGACGATTTATGCCTTTTTTTTCTACGTTTGGATGACTTATAAAAACGGGTCTGGACCGGGGGACAGACACAGTACCTATAGTATAACTACAGTTCGATTCAGAATTACAGCTATAGTGACTGGGAGACAGATCTAAGGGAGGCGCAGAGAAGCGTGTAAGACAGCTCTGCCTCCTGGTCTGAACTCTGTGTTGTTGTCAAGGTTTTGGACTAATAACCTCTGCTATGTTTCTAGACCTACATAAGCCAACATGTTAGCTTTATAATTAGTTTTCATCACTTGAGAACAAAAACCTCTGTTTTGAATGTGCTGTGTTCTTTGTTCAAAACATACAGAAGACATAATAAATCAGCATTTAACAAGTGAAAGATTTGATGCGATTCTGTAGGAATTTCAAACTCCAACAAACGCTAAAGCAAATGGAGTAATCATACAAACCTCATGAATTCAGTGTTCAGTAACTGTCAACTTCATACACCATGAATGAACAACCAGTAGACAAACTTATGAAGGTAGATATGTTGCAAAATAGGAGAGCTTGTAGAATTCGATGTGAGAACTTGAAGGAAAAAAAAGTGAACTTGTATGTAAAAATGTTTACTTGTATAAAAATCCACACACGTGAAATTAATTCCAAGTCACAAATGGGGGGAAAAAATGTGAACCTGTAGAGTTAATATTCACACATGCGTGATCTGAATGTGAAGTCAAAGAAAAAATATTCACAAATGTGTAGACTGATATTTACACTAATAAAATGACAGCTGCAAACTTGTAATCCAACATTTACTCACATGTTTTTTATTACTTGTGCCTATTATCCTTTACAACCACAACTCTGCGGTTACAACTTCTCAAAACTGCCGCTACAACTGCAAAAACTACTTTTCTTGCGTGAATCTGCACTGTTAGAGTTTTGCAACACATTTTGTGAGACGTCTGTAGCAAAACAAATTTGTACTTGTACTTGTAGAAATGATTAACACGTCTTCAGAGGCTACTTCCATTTTAGCAGTATGGAGTAGGCTAAAGGGTGCAGAAAACAATTAAAGCAACATATCAGCATTGTGGTTTAGCAGTCTATGTGTGTGTGCACATAGCAAAGGGAAATATCATTTTCACACTTACTTGTCGACTAAGTACCAGATCAGCAGGATCCCCAAAAACATGAGAGTCACCACCAGAGAGAAGAGTAACTTGAGCTGGATCAAAATGAGTAACAATAACACTTATGTATTAGCATTCCATACCAGAACTATTTTAGTAACTTTGCATGAAGTGCACATACAACAAAGAAAAGTCTGCCTGAAACACTTCCTGGACTTTTTTTTTTTTTCCGTAACTCCGCCACACGAATGTTAACCAAGAAGCAACTTCAAGTTCTCAGAGAGTCAGTAAAGCTGAAGTGCCAAAACTGCAGTTCCTGATGAGAGGCCACTTGGAGCTGGTTCAAAAAGCAAGTAAATCCCAGTAATGATCCCAGTGGCTGATTTCTCAAGTTGTAACAACTGGAAAGATAGTTCATTTTCAATAACTTACTGATTATTTTCTTTGTTCAATACCAATTTAAATCCTGCTTAATTTGGACTTTAGTGTCTAATAGCTCCTGTTAGAAGTTTTTTAAACTTTTGATCAAACTGACCAAAATACATATTAATGCCTCTTTTTGAACTACAAAAGCAAAATAGACCGTCAGCTAAAGATGAACTATTTCTATATTGTAGATTTTTTATATAAATCTACTTAAATAAAGTATAAAGTTTAATGTTTTATCCATGATCTTGTTACTGGTTTGTTGTGTAACACGGTTTGTGTTTTGAATTCCCAGATAGTCCCACGCGCTCGATTGTAGACGGTTGCAGCGTGTCATGTTTTAAAGTTTGGGTTATAATGCTACATTTTAATTCATAATGATGCATTATAATGTAAACCATTAAGGATAAAATATCCAGTTTTTATATTATCAACTATAAGAGAATGGCTGTTACTTGCAAACCACATATGAGGAACCACAAGCGTTTGTTTCTAGGGACTGCTGAGAAGAAGGTGAACCTGATGCTAAAGCTGAAACTACCTTTCTCCCATGAACACTTACTCTCTCACATAATTTTTATGACATTAAAAACATATATTTAATAATTTACAAGCAACAGAAAGAGCTGATTCTTACCTTCATGTTCCAGTTAAAAAAGCTAGTCCTTTGATTATGGATCCAGTAAAGCAAATTGCTCAATGTTTCTCTCTTGTGTTTTACTACCTGAAGCCTTATCAGAAGCCACACAAAGCCAAAGTACAGTATCTGCAAAAATGCTGAGAAAAGTTTTTTGTGTTTTTTGTTTGCCAAGCGTAAGTATCAAATTGTATTTAACAACCAATTGTATGATTGATTAGATTAAAGTGAAGTGATTTTCAAGCATATTGTAATTTAACCTTCAGCTTAACCATTTCTGTTTTACAACTATAACTGCATTTTACCTTTGTTTTACTGCTGCCTATGATCAAACACTGATGGGCTACAATTGTCGTGAGAATCGCATCCTTCTCTTTTTACAACCTTTCCAGCAGAAGTCTCTCTCTCTCTCTCTCGGACAAGCTTCGGGACAAACTATATTATAAACTTTTACACATCTTGAATAAACAACCAAGCAGGAAACAGAACACTCTGCTATTTACTAATTGACCTCGAAGACGGAACTGTGACCGAAACCCCAGCCATTTGCTAGTCATAAAATCAGCAGGGTGCAGATGACACGGTCACGGACACACACAAGTAGCTGCCAAACTGTCCTTAGCAATGGAACAAGTCATTATATGGTTACGTTATTCATGTCTGACTCTTAATACTGACAAAACTATGGTCATGTATTTTGTGAAAAATAATGTTTTTTCCAAACATTAATGTAGGTGGGCAAATGATAAGAAAGGTTGATGAGTTTAAATACTTGGGTGTTAAACTAGACCACAACCTTACTTTTAAAAGTCATATTAAAAAGATGTGCCATAAAGTTAAATATAACATAGCCAACTTTAGACATATCAGGAACTCACTTACAGTCGAAGGGTCTAAAATGTATTTGAATGCTATGATTTTTTTTTTTTTTTATTACTGTATATCATGTTGGTCTCAAGCAAACAAGACTGTCTTAAAACCCATAAGGTCACTTCATAAACAAGCCCTTAAAACTCTGGACAGGAAAGCACAACAGTACCATCATTGTTATATTCTTGATAAAATATAAAATTCTAAGCTTTGACAATTTAATATTTTTTACCGATGTCCGCTTAGTGTATAAGATAATCCATGATGCTGCTCCCCTACCATTGAAAAGCTTTGTGAAACTTTGCTCTGAGCAGATAAGCAGATCTTCAAGGTCTGCCTCAAATGGAGATTGCAGTATTCCAAAAATGGCTCAGCTTTAGCACAATCTGTTTTTTCTTTTAAAGCCATTAAAGAATGGAATGGTCTTCCAACTAGTCTTAAACTTGGCACAAACGTCTGCACTTTCACCCGTGAAGTCAACAAATGAATTTTAAGGAACCAGTCTTGTCAGCATTAATGTGTCATCTCGACAACCTTTTACATCTCTCAGGGAACCTTGTACATAATGTTTTAATATCTGTAAATTGTTCTATGTCTTTCTTCTCTCTTATGAAATGTGTGTGTGTGTGTGTGTGTGTGACTGGTTGATTTGTATTTTGCTGTTGCCCAGGGACAACAGATGGAAATTAGCTAGTTAGCTAAATCTGGTGCAAAGCATCTCTTCTCTTCTGAGACTAATGTTTTTTTTTGTACACTGTCCTTGATTCAAATAAACGATTAAACTAATAGTTAAATCACTGCTCAAGAACTCTGTTTAAACCACAACGTTTAATTCTTCATCTAATGAACATTTACAGTGGGTACGGAAAGTATTCAGACCCCTTTACATTTTTCACTCGTTTCATTGCAGCCATTTGCTAAAATCAAAAAAGTTCATTTTATTTCTCATTAATGTACACTCAGCACCCCATCTTGACAGAAAAAAAACAGAAATGTAGAAATTTTTGCAAATTTATTAAAAAAGAAAAACTGAAATATCACATGGTCATAAGTTTCAGACCCTTTGCTCAGTATTGAGTAGAAGCACCCTTTTGAGCTAGTACAGCCATGAGTCTTCTTGGGAATGATGCAAAAAGTTTTTCACACCTGGATTTGGGGATCCTCTGCCATTCTTCCTTGCAGATCCTCTCCAGTTCTGTCAGGTTGGATGATGAATGTTGGTGGACAGCCATTTTCAGGTCTCTCCAGAGATGCTCAATTGGGTTTAGGTCAGGGCTCTGGCTGGGCCAGTCAAGAATGGTCACAGAGTTGTTCCGAAGCCACTCCTTTGTTATTTTAGCTGTGTGCTTAGGGTCATTGTCTTGTTGGAAGGTGAACCGTCAGCCCAGTCTGAGGTCCTGAGCACTCTGGAAGAGGTTTTCTTCCAGGATATCGCTGTACTTGGCTGCATTCATCTTTCCTTCAATTGCAACCAGTCGTCCTGTCCCTGCAGCTGAAAAACACCCCCATAGCATGATGCTGCCACCACCATGTTTCACTGTTGGGATTGTATTGGGCAGGTGATGAGCAGTGCCTGGTTTTCTCCACACATACCGCTTAGAATTAAAGCCAAAAAGTTCAATCTTGGTCTCATCAGACCAGAGAATCTTCGTTCTCATAGTCTGGGAGTCCTTCATTTGTTTTTTTTGGCAAACTCTATGCAGGCTTTCATATGTCTTGCACTGAGGAGAGGCTTCCGTCGGGCCACTGTGCCATAAAGCCCCGACTGGTGGAGGGCTGCAGTGATAGCTGACTTTGTGGAACTTTCTCCCATCTCCCTACTGCATCTCTGGAGCTCAGCCACAGTGATCTTTGGGTTCTTCTTTACCTTTCTCACCAAGGCTCTTCTCCCACGATTGCTCAGTTTGGCTGGACAGCCAGGTCTAGGAAGAGTTCTGCAGAAATTCTTTTGTAACCTTGGCCAGATCTGTGCCTTGCCACAATTCTGTCTCTGAGCTCCTTGGGCAGTTCCTTCGACCTCATGATTCTCATATGCTCTGACATGCACTGTGAGCTGTAAGGTCTTATATAGACAGGTGTGTGCCTTTCCTAATCAAGTCCAATCAGTTTAATTAAACACAGCTGGACTCCAATGAAGGAGCAGAACCATCTCAAGGAGGATCAGAAGAAATGAACAGCATGTGAGTTAAATATGAGTGTCACAGCAAAGGGTCTGAATACTTATGACCATGTGATATTTCAGTTTTTCTTTTTTAATAAATTTGCAAAAATGTCTACATTTCTGTTTTTTTTCTGTCAAGATGGGGTGCTGAGTGTACATTAATGAGAAATAAAATGAACTTTTTTGATTTTAGCAAATGGCTGCAATGAAACAAAGAGTGAAAAATGTAAAGGGGTCTGAATACTTTCCGTACCCACTGTATGCCTTTCTTAGTTTATATATTTGAAATTGTCACTGTAGTGGCAACTTAACTGATTATTTATTCACCTGTACCCACATGGTAATTTACGCCAATTAGCTGCGCTTTACGACAGCAGCAGGACACATAAACTGAGCACATATAACCACACAGACCTACTATAACCACACAATGTTTCAATACGTGATAAACATTAAAAAAAAATTAAAAAAAATTAAAAAAAAAACTCTATTAAGTATAAACGTATAAATACAAAATAATACTATTGGGGCAAATTATTTTATTAACCTTAACATTATTAAATTAACCTGTTGTCCTCTATGGCTCTAACATTACGGCCCCTAATTGTTCTTGAACTACAAAGCAATTACGTCTTCCCATATTCATAAGAGCCATGTTACGATCATCTTCAAAAACAGTATGACAAAACATTTGTCATTAAGCAATAATGTCCAACGTTCTCTGGTCTTCTTATTACAACAGGAACTCTTTTTGAAGAAAATTTGCTGGAATGTGTATAATAGAAGGGCAAGCCCACTTTTGTCTCTCTTGTAGATCTGGTAAATACTCCTTTGTCCAGCATCTCCAAAACAAGTCTGTCAAATATTGAACTGGCGCCATCTGCATCTGGAGTACATGTCATACCTGTCAAATAAGCCAGGGGTGTAGTGGAGTTTTGGCTTTCATCAACAGCAGGTGGTTTGGTGTTAAGGCGTCAATGTCATTCGGATCGTCAGAGACTCTTGTGATGGGGCAACTATTGATTAGTGCCTCCACCTCGCACAGCAAAGTGTGTAGCCCTTCCTCATCGATTCTTTGCTGCTTCAGAGTTGAGTACTTTTCTTATTGTGCGTATCTGCCGTTTCCATACTCCATCAAAATGAGATGCAGCAGCTGGGTTGAATAACCATGTGATACCTTTTGCATCCAAGATGTCTTGAATCTCTGCATTATCCGAACCTGCCCTGCTTCCCGTACCTCACTTTCTGCTGCCACATAGTTCGTTCCATTATCAGAAGGCATCAGCTTGCCCTCTCCTAGCAATGAAGCGGCGCAGTGCATGAATACAGAAGTCAGTGTCCAAAGAACTCGCCATCTTAATATGCACAGCTCTCATTGTCAAACAAGTGAAGACCACACCATACCTTTTAATCATGGTCCTTCCCCTTTTGATTTCAAAAGGACCAAAATAGTCCAGGCCAACGCTTGTGAACGGCGACTCATCAGGTATTCACTTGGGAGATCAGCCACAATTTGACATTATGTTTTTCCTCGCAGGCGTTTGCAGGTTACACATCATGACAGAATGTGTCTGGCTTTGTTAGGAAGTCTGGACCATTTATCCAGGTCTTTGCTTTAAGAAAGGTCTCCTCTAAGACCTCTTGAAGCACAGTCTGCTGGGTCGGCTGAAGTATTGACGTATCTCCACTGAGAAACATTTGACTTATCTGATTTCAGCAACCTGATTGTCAACGAATGTGCAGTACCTGGTTGACTCATTCTTAAGGTATTGAATGACTGTACTGTCAGTCCAAAAGACAGATTTTTCCAGTTTCATTTCCAATTCAGTTCTCATTATTGAATCCATCCTTGTAGCTACAAGTGCAGCAGTGAGCTCGAGACGTAGTATGGTAACTGGTTTCAGTGGCGTGACCCTAGCCTTGCCTATGACGAGTGCGCTGTGATTCTGGTTCTGATTGTTTTTTGGATGTTGCTGTGCCATACCCCTTCTTACTTGCGTCCGCAAAGTGATGAAGTTGAGCTGAAGTGGTCTCACCAAAGTCGACTGGCTTCACACATCTCTCTACTTTGAAACTGGCGAGATGATGTTTGCTTGTAACCCACTGTTGCCACTGTTGAGCTAGAGCGTCTGGCATGCTATCATCCCATGCATGCATGTTTTATTCTGAAGAGCTCCTGCAGTATCTGCTTCACTGGCAGGATGAGTGGAGCCAAAATCCGAAAAGGGGATCATAGATAGTGCTCACCATTGAAAGTACTCATCTTCTTGTCAGTGGCTTGTTCTGCATAACAACTCTGAACTTCAGCATGTCTGACTCTACACACCACTGAACCCCTAGAGCTCTGTCAATAGGGAGATGATCATTTTCCAAGTCAAGCTCCTTGATCTCCTTGGCCCTATCATCCTCAGGTACTGATGCCAGCACAGCTCTACTATTAGAAATCCACTTAGTGAGCTTAAAACCTCCTGCCTCGGAGGTCCTGAATGAGAGCAACTGCCTGTTCTTCTAACAGACATGAGGCAGTCGTCTACATAAAAGTTCCTTAGGACAGTATTTATTTTATCTGAGCTGAATCTTCAATGATTGTCCTCAGCAAATCTCCTCAGCATAGCCTTTCTCCATTGTTTCTGTCATAAACTTTCTGTAATCCTGATGGAACTCTTGGTTTCTCAACAACTTTCGTTTCAGGCTTTCCACTCTCTGTACTGCAATAGCACGGTTGTTTGGGAATGTGATGTCCTTGTTCTTTAAAGGAAGGCCAATGCTATAATGGCCATTGACGAGCTTTGCTGTTTGCGACACAGAGTCCATAAATTGTCTGTCTTCACCAGACATTTCCAACTTTCAGTCAGCTGCTGCTCGCAGAGGCCCCGCTTGCCAACAAACAAACTTCAACCTCTAGCAGTGACCCACAACTAAGTAATGGGAGTGATTTGGAGGGGGGATGAGGGAAACAGCTAATTTAGACAGTAGCTTTTTTTGAACAGTAGAAATTATCCAAGTGTACTAAATTATCCAAGTGTATTAGAAACTGTAGTTCTATAATGTGAAACTTCACTTTATTTACTTGTTATAATTATAACCATAATATACTATATCATGTTATTATCTTTCCTAAGGATCATTGCTGAAGTTTCTAACCCCAACAAAAGAAACGGACAAAGTGCCCTCTCCAAAAGTTGACAGTGGTAACTGTCTTTAAGTTTAGTATTTCACTTTTAATTAATTATACTGTATATGCATTGATTATTTTTCACATAACATGCCATGTTTCTATTTTGGTCATATCAGTTCAGGGTAGGGATGACCCGATACCAGTATTCGGCATCGGTCTGACAATCTTACAGTGCACCAGTGGACCCTTCTGGAAAAAACTTGGTCTGTTTTGGCTCCGTTTGAGGGGTTAACCCGAAAAGTGAGCTCGTCCGATGCTTTAGCATCAGATGTAATTCCTGCTGTGACCGTGCTTCAGAGACTTTTGACCAAAGAAACCGATGCGGATCAGGGCATTAAGTACTCGTAACGGTACTCGGTATCGGTGAGTACCCAAATGTAAGTACTTGTACTTGGTTTGCAAAAAAGTGGTATCGGTGCATCTCTAGTTCAGGGGTCCACATTTATCGGGCATTTAGCAGCATCATCCTCCAGTAGTACAACAGCCACCTCACCTCCTGCCCTTCATCACTAGGAAGATGCTCCACAGACAGATAACATATACTGTGCCCTTTCAAGATTATTTATGGCCATACATTGTGTGTTTAGTTTTTCTTTATTTTTGTTGGTCTTAACAGCTGAGTTAGCAACTACCTCCAGTTGTGGGACAGCCACCCCACCTCCTGCTTATCGTGAACAGGAAGGTACACCACCGACAGAACAAGCTCCCTTTCAGAGTACTTGTTCCAATATCTGTGAGTTAATTTTTTAAATTTATTTAAAAACATATTCTCTGCCTTCTTGGGATTATGTATGACAATTCATAGCATGTTCCTTTTCGCTTCTTTTTTTTTTCAAATCAGCCCTGGCAACATTCACCTCCAGTGTATGGAGGACTAAAAGTGCCAAAATGAAATATATAAATATATAATTAATTAAATCATTAAATGTGTCATCAATTATTTAATATTGGAAATAAATCAACAAATATATAAATAAATATATAATTATTTAATTAATTAAATGCATGTGTTATTAAATAATTAAATAATTATTTAAATGTGTCATTAATTATTTAAAATTGGTAATATATAAATAAATAATTTATGAAACACATCATTAATTAATGAAATGTTTAATTAATTATTTAAAATGTTAATTCATTTAATGTAAAACCACATTTAATTATTTTACTATTTATTTAATTATTTCACTATTTACTTTGTCATTTCATGGTCCCTACACCAGCAGTGCATCTTGAAATAATTTTATCTGTCACTGCTGCTCGTCAAAGTTTCTAACATCTGATTGGTTACTCAGCAAAGCAAGTCATGACAGATCGATCCCAGATAATGGATTGAAGCAGTGAATGCACTCCGATACGTTAAGTGGCAGTGTTCATCCATATATTCGTTTCGGTACGCTCTTCATTTGTCGCCGAAAAAATTGTTGCTGATGATACAAGTGAAGACGGATCAATCACCTCACCATTGGTGCAAAGTGTTAGTGCAGGATGTCCAAAACCTCTCCGGAGCTGCTAAGAGAAGCAGCTAATTTGATTGAAGAAGCTCTGTGGAGAACTCCACCGGCAGCACACCACGTACACCTGTTCAAGGTAGGTAAGGATAGTCAGATGTGCTTCTAAACGAAGCTAGCTAGTCGGCAGAATGGTGTTAGCATGTCAGCAGCCCTTAAGTTGGAGTATTATTAGTTATTTCTTTTTAGTTGTTGTTTGCTTTCTTTATTACATTTATCAGTGACATTCGTTGAAATTACTCTAAGCAGGGACTTAAGGATGTTTTAGCTGAGTGGCGATCATGGGAGCTGTAACATTTTCTCTGTGTTGCAGCCGAAGTAGCAAGGCTCTTTGCTCTATACTACAACTACAACTACTACAACAACAACAACAACAACAACAACAACAACAACAGCGCCAGGAGACGGCCAGCACGGAGCCAAGTCATCCGAAGAAGCTACACACACACTTTCTGTTGTTTGGCTGACAACAAGGCTGATAAAGTTCCAAGCATTCAGCTTAAAGCAGACCTTCTTGCTTCAGGACTTGGAGAACAAAGGGTGATCTTTTCAGGTGGGTCTGAAACAAGAAATTTGAGTCCTGACATTAGTAGGAGTTGTATTTTTAATTTAATTTTATCGCCATTTGTGTTCACCTATTTTACATATTAGACTCAAACTTTAATTATGTGATTTTCTTGGTGTGTATTTGTTATAACAGCTTAGCTTTTGGCATTTGAGTTAATGTGCATTATGTATATTTACAGGAAATGACAACGATCCCATGGTTGTAACAAACAAACTGATGGAGGTGTTTCCAAAGCTGCAAGAAGGGGGAGGCTTTGAGTTTCTAAAAATTGTAGGATCTACTCGCAGTCGAAATCTTGGACACCCTTGCCTATCTAAAAGATCCATCTACAACAATTGGACAGGCTACAATTTACATACGCCCACTTCAACAGGACCTACCCATTGATTCAGTATGGAAATTTACACTGTCACCATTTGATACATAGTTAAAATAAATTGCGCTGTGGAGTTTTAATCAATACTTAACAGATTTGTTGTTCTTAGGAAAGCTCGGGACATGCCTCTGGTCCAGCCATCTCATGTATCACTTGTCAGAAGGAGGTTCCCTTCTCTGAAATGAAACTGCACCGAGCTAACTGTGATGGGTATGCACTTGTTAAAGCTATGTAAGAATTACATATACATTTTTCAATAAGAAATTTATTTTTAGTTTTTGTGCACACAGATGAGAGGAAATGACTATAACATTTTCTGAACTTCAAGGACCCCCATGCAGGAAACACACAGAGAAGGAGAGGGAGACCGTGGTGAGGAGAATGATAGAGAGCCACCCACTGACAGGGACAGCGTTCCAGTGAGGCCTGAAACATCTGTAGAGAGTGAAGTAGAACCAGTAGTGATTGAAAGTGAGAAGATTGATCTTAAAGAACTTGACAATGGTTTGTGTCATCACAGTAGGAATGCTATAATATTGTGCATGATTAGAACTCAGTTAATAGAAGAATAACACCTTTTAACCATAATAAATAACGACTATAAGACATGCCATTATCACTGCTGTTTTATAGAACCTTAGAAACACTTCCTCATACAGTTCACAGACTCCACATCTAAGTGAAGCTTGGTTGACTTAAAACAGCAAATAAGCATCATTCTGATGAAAGTGAAGTAGAAATGGACTTTCCTAGTATCTATTAAAAGGCTGTTGGATTCTGTCACATTTTTCAGGTGTTCCTCCTTTTCTGTTGATTGGGAGAGTTTATCTGCATTTAACATGCAAAGTAGTTAAATTTATTTTTGTTCTTGTCTAGACTGGAAGATTATTAAAGAACCAACTCTGGCTGCCCAAGTTTTCAAAGATAATCTACTAAGTGAACATGCAACCGGGAAGCCTCTTAAACTGAAAATGGATGTAAGGGAGAGTGAGGAGGACAGGGAACGGGCACTTCTCTCATTCTATAAACAGCAACAGGAATGGGCATGTCCACTTCATTGTACCCTTGATGGTTAGTAGAATAGAGTTCATAATATAAATATATCCTGTTACATTAATATCAATTATATGTCTTATATGGAATGGTATTAGTGGTTTACTGGTCCCATCAGGTCATTTGGCTGATATTAATCATTATATGATAATCTGCATTGGCTGTTCATGCTGTCTGCATAACAGTTCATGTGTTTGTCCTTCCTTCCTAAAACTTGTCAAGCACCTATAGCCTTGTTACAGCTTGTTTCCAGTGTGTTATTAACAGTATAGAGTATTCTTTTTTTTTTTTAAATCGGTGATGCTGCTGTTGGACAGGGAGTGATGCGGTACTTTCTGACAACAATAATATCCAAACTCCAGTTTGGATTCAGAATGAATCTTGGTAAATGTGCTACTATTCAGGTTAATGTCATGCATTTTAAAAGTTAATTGTTTGATTTTAACCCCTGCTCTGTTGGTACTTACAGGAGGAGTGGGCCAAAGTCTGCTATTTGAAGGTGAGCCTGACCATCTCGTTCCAGCTGCATCAGAGGTGCTTATTGAGAGCAACCTCTTCCGGGTTGCAGGAAGGATGATAGCCCACTCCTTTTTGCATGATGGCCCCCATGTCACCGGATTAAGTCCTGCTGTTATTCACGTACTGTTCAATGGGGACCCTGAAATGGCAACAATTGTTGTCGAGGACTGTCCTGATCTGCACATCAGGAGTATTGTAACAATGGTATGTAACACACAAACAAAAAAACCTTTGCCTTGCAAAATTCCTGGACAGGTGTAATACCTTTTATGATCCAAACTGTAGCTTGAACTTGAAGAACTTACTCAGGAACAGAAGGACACAGTGTCAGATCTTTCCCTGTCTTGGGATCTCCCAGCAGTCACTAAAACGAATCAGAGGTGGCTACATAACAAACTTCTAGTACACGCGGTGAGTTTCTCCTGCTGATTTTGTGAATTCTCCTTCTCCCCCCATTTATCCATCAATTATGTTTCAAGCTAAGCAATTCTATCACGTCTGCATTTCTTTTGCACATCTGTATTTCAATCACAAACTAATTGGAACTGCAGGTAGGATTATTACAGAACCTAAACTCTCTTTAACTTGTAATCTAGGCAGGGAGTGGTTTGGTGTTGCAATATGAAAGGATATAATTGGGGAAAAATACATCTTAAGCACTGCATTAGAGTTTTATAAACACTTTCTACTGTGCCAACTTTTGTAGAATTTTAATATTTGGTCAGTAATATGGGTTTGGCCTTTCTTGTAGGTCATCGGGAGGACCATGCGCCAAATTAAACAGTTGAGAAAGGGATTGAAAGATGTGATTCTATGGCCCCTGCTGACATCAAGGCCAGATGTTGTCCCACTTCTTTTTCCGAAAATGGCAGGAATGCAGTTTGTACCCCAGGTGATTTAGTACATCCAACTTATTAACAATACTTAAAATATTAATAAATGTGTGTGCAAATCTTATTGTCTAATTTACTGAGCTGGATATTTTCTCAATTACCAAGACTAATGTAATCTATATTCCTTTTCATCAGTGTTGAATTATAAATTATCCTAGACATCAAAATACTTTTCAAACTTTTTTTTTTTTCAGATGTTCCTAGACAAAATCACATGGCCTGTGGAGGACAGTGATGAAGAACTTGACATTGAGTGCAAGTGCCGCATCACTGGTTTTCTACGGGTGTTCCTTGAAACAGGTATAGCTATCGTATTTTGCAATTTATTTTCATGTTTACCAATGTCTCTATGTCCCATAAACATCTCACTTAACACTGTAGAATATATGAAATGCATAGGGATTTGAACAGTTACAGTGCACTGTGTTCTTAATCCACTTTATGACGTTTTAGCTTCATCAGATACACTGGCTCAGTTGCTGAAGTTCTGGGTCGGCTGGGAAATGCTCCCTCCAGAACTCAAAGTGGAGTTTTCCGGGGGAACCTTCCCATCATCCTCCACATGCTTTGAAACACTGAAGCTGCCAGCTCATTACAACACCTACAAAGACTTTGAGGAAGCACTTGTTGCTGCAATAGTGCACACACTGGATTTGGTCTTGTTTAAGTATTTTCAGGCAATGATGTTGCTGTGCTTTTATTCAGTAGAAAAGGTCAATTTGAGTGAAGTGAGTTCAGTGTTTTTCTAACATTTAAAATACAGTGTAGTATTTTCTTTCCCTGAAAATGATACTGCTTTGTTGTTGCTCTTCTGTCAACTGTTTGATACTTAAGTGTGCATTACCTTGCTGTCCTTGCCTGTTGTCATTGGCTACATGAGGTTGTTGCAATGTCTCTTTATGCTAGAAAAATTGGTTTTATTTGCATTAAAACAGCATATTATTATTTCAGATTTGTATTGACAAATCAAGTTAACTAATTCATGAGTGACATTTGCACATGCTTAATAAATAAAATATAAAGCCTGGTTAAGGTATCAGTTTCCAATGATTCTTGACAAAACTTGCACTGTCTCCAAATATGATCCAATTGCATCATTTAAAGAAACTCCTGAAACTGGCAAAATGGCAACCTCTTCATCTGAGAGCTCACGGGCCATCTGAATCTCAGGAACTGACACAGTGTCTCCATGCTGATTGTGAGGCCCATTCCAGTCGATCCCATAGTCTTCGTAAACCTGAACAGAGGATAACTTTGATTGACATATTGTTTAAACTACTATGACATGTCATCACACAAGATTCATGGGATTGATCATTGGTCCTTATCTTGGTGACAAATTAAGTTTTAGGCACTTTGCTGCTCAGATGTTGTTCTGTCAGAGCTCAGGAGACAGAAGAGATTCTCTCATGTTTCGTTCAAAAACAAGAACGAAGTGATAACAGAAACCCTTTTATTAAAATATAGTGGGTCCAATTATCATCTGTCTGAAATGTTTCTTCTAAGAAATTTGAGGAAAAATAAATCTGCTAAACATCAGTGACAAACACCTGTATCTCCTGACCAACAAAATATTAATATATTTTCAAAAGGTTTCAATAATAGTGTAAAACTACAATCTTTTTTTTTAACCTCTGCAGGATCCTCCATGGGGCCTTGCTCTCTGTATCTTCTCCAGAGTTCATTAGGTGATTGATTCCTTTCAGTTCTAAGTCCATGAAAGTTCCAAGCATCTCTGAAGGAGCTGAGGGTTCTCTAAATTTGGGGAAGGAAGATTTGGTGCAGGGCATAAAGATGGACTTCGTTGTCTGGATTGAGTGTCCCCTGATCTTCCAATGAAGTGAAGATCTGATAGAAGAGGTCTAGGGCATGCTCATAAACATCTCTCCACATCCTCTCTATTCTGCAATTAGAATGGAATTGACAAATTGTTAATCAATATATAATCTCAAGCTTTAAAATACATCGAGCTGCTATGGTTTGTACAAGCAGTGGTGGACAGTAACGGAGTACATTTACTTGAGTATTTGTTTTTTTGGAAACTTATGACTTTCACTCCACTACAAAACAAATATTGTGCTTTCGACTCCACTACATTTCTAGGAAGCTCGTCGTTACTGGTTCCTTTTAGGCTCAGCATAGCTTTGTAGTCAGCTGTTGGTGTTTTTCTTTTCTAAAATGCAATTGGCCTCACGCTGTGCTCCTCATAGAAGGGAACCAATCACAGTCACCGCTCACACATGGGATGGATTTGGCAATGGAGATGGCAGGAGAAGCTGAGGAAAGAGACTAAATGTGCACCATCTTTTAGGGATTTTCATCACTTTCCACAGACATGGAAAAATGCAGGGCGGTTTACAGATTTTATTAAGGCAAGGGTTATGTTGCCATGTAGCCAAGTGGTTCAACTGGATGACGAGTTCATGAAAGCAGAGTTGTAGTTTGTTCGCAGTAATGGACTGAACAGTAAACTTGCAACTCCCCCACAGTGAATGTACGGGGAGAAAAAAAAGGCCCTCCTGTTTTTTTTGGGTGGGGATGTTTAAATAAAAAAATTAAATGACAATAGCTGTCCTTATTGTTTTTGATTGCATTTTTACGCTGAAGTTTTTACAGGTGTTTCTATAGACTTGTAAGTCAATACATCATTAGGTGGTTTCAGAGAGTTACAAGGTTCTGTATAAGCACTGAGAAAACAATACAGCAATGCACTGATATTAGAAAATATACTTTGTACTTTTGAATACTCAAGTAGTTTTAAAAATAATTACTTTAACTTGACTAAAATCTTGACAGAGCAACTTTTACTTGTAGTTGAGTAAGATTTGACCATGAGTATCAATACTTTGACTCAAGTACTGGAGTTGAGTACTTTGTCCACCACTGTGTACAAGTAGTCACCAAACAGATATATTTTACCTACCGCTGATTGTGTACACTTCTGCCTGTGATGTGAGAGTTCCTGTTGGTACCTCTGCTCCTGATCATGAATTCTGCTACGTCTGAATTCTCTCTTCCTTTATCAGACCGTACCCTTGACGGCAGCCCGTACTGCTGAACGGCATTGATAAAGCTCTGTAGGACAGTGCTAGCCCTATTATTGCCAGCCACATTCAGGTAGACCACCAGTCGACTGAATCCGTCCACCCCACCATGGACAACAAATCTCCACCTGTCAGACAGTTTTGAACACAAAATAGCTTTAATGTGATAATTTCTTTGGACATCTATAGAACGTTGCATTGTTTATCAACTAATATTACTGATACCTTATAAGCATGTGGTGACCATCTATGTGCCATAAAGAGTTTGGGCCAGGAACAGAATACTGCCGTCGTCTTATTACATGCAGCCGTAGACGTCTCATGTACACTCCCTCAGCATCCACTCTGTGCAAAGACTCTCTCAGTCTTGAGACTTTAGAGCAGAAAATAATCATACACTCATTTGCTATTTATTTAAAAAAAAACACTTAAAAATCTAACTGAGAAATACTGTGAAAAAAAAATACCAGAGTTTCAAATATTTAGAAGTATTTTGATAGTGTTAGGGTGTTAATAAATAAATAATAATAAATGGCAACACCATGGATTTAAATTTGTTAATCCAGTACAAAACCACCAGTCTCAAAAATGACCAGAGTTCACCTTATCTATCATCAACATGATATATAAAACTTCACAATAACAGGATACAAATCTGGATTTACCCTGGAAATGAGTTTCAGATATATCAGCCGCTACTTTGCAAAAGAATACACACATACATGAGCCTTACCTTAACAATATATATTCTCATTGTCACTAACCTTACGCCTAGTTCATGGTTATTTATATTTATTCATATTGGGTTCGGATCATACTCACTTGGAACATGCACACCTCTAGCATTCAAATATCCACGCATTAGCTTGTAGCCGGTGTTTGGATGGCTTCTGTGGACTTACAATACGGTCCAACTCCTCATCAGCAACAGGTGTGTAGAGATCTGTCTTTCTGCGCAGACCAACAAACTAAATGTTACATTTCACTTAACACCTTTTAAAATGAATGACATCGCCAGTACACTACTAATAATCTTAATAAAATCCGTGAATTTACCTGTGAATACCTTAGGCCACTATGTTTCATGTGCCTTCTGATTGTCCTCTTCGAAACTCCAAACCTCTCGGCAATTTCACTCGCTGGTAGCCCACACCGGACATGATGCTGTAGAGCGGCAGTGGGGATGTCAAAAGCCGGGCGCCCTGCTCCGGGTGTGTGCTGCGGCCCCGTACGGGAGAAGCGCTGGAGAACTTCTTCTAAGTTTGCGAACACTCTTCGGTCAATATCTTGGTCAGAGAGACCGGAAATAACTCCAAGAACTTCAATAAATCCCTCTGCTTTGCTAGCCACATGTTCAGGGTCCGAAATTCCAGCGTCAACATTCTCTGCCAGGTCTAAAATATCTGTTATCAACTCACGGGAGAGCTTATGCAGATCTTCTGTGATTGCTGCCATATTTGTTTGTTTGTTTGGCGGGAAACCGCCTATTCTGGCAACCCTTCAGACCAAAGCAATGGTTTGTGACTCGATCAGCGTTAATCCCGCCCACTAAGTTTGATGGGAGAGGATGACAGATAAAATTATTTCATGATGCACTGCTGGAGCAGGAAACATGAAATAATTAAATAAATAGTGGAATAAATAGATGTGTTTTTACATAGAATGAATGAACATTTTAAATAATTATTTCAACATTTATTTAATTATTTATGTATTTCATAAATTATTTATTTATTTATTTATTTATTTATTTATATATTACCAATTTTAAATAATTAATGACACATTTAAATAATTATTTAATTATTTAATAACACGTGCATTTAATTAATTAAATAATTATATATTTATTTATATATTTGTTGATTTATTTACAATATTAAATAATTGATGACACATTTAATGATTTAATTAATTATATATTTATATATTTCATTTTGGCACTTTTAGTCTTCCATACCAGCGAGACAGCAACAACTCATCATTGAAGATGACACTTCCCCCTCTACCTCAAGCATCAGTATTACCAACACTGAAAAAGGTTTGACCACATCAGAAGACCCAGCACAATGGCCAAATGTCCTTGGTCATGCTGAACAATGCATACTTGTTACAAGAGGACCTATACAGGTAAAAGACCTAGTTTTCCCCCAGAATACAGAGAAAAATCCACGTAGATTCACAAAGGAAAACCATGACATGGTCATGAAAAACAGGGAAAAAATACAAGCATTGTCTGCTCTCCAAACTCACTCAGTACAAAAGAAGGACTCTGAGACATCTTAATGCTGGTGGACAACTTAATGCTGGTGGACAACAGCCACCAGCATTAAGGGTGAACTCATGACATGGAGTTTTGTACTGTGCACTGTTGTCTGGTACAGCATACTGTATCAGATCAACCACGTCAGCAAGATTCTTCAGAGCCCCAGTGTTTCTCTTGAAACACTGAAACAAGAAACAAGCACAGTCAGAGTGTATCTGGAAGATTTCAGGGGAAATGGACTTCTTGACTGTCAGAATGATGCTAGAGAGATAGCAGAAACACTTGAAATTGACAGGACATTTCCAGCAAAAAGACAATGGAAAACATGAGGGCAGAGAAGAAAATCAATCCACTCCAGAAGAGCAATGTAAGACAGAGTTTTTTCCTCCCCCTAGTGGACACAGCTCTCATCAGCTTAAATGACAGATTTTCAAAACTGGAAGATGTTTATCACCTTTATGGTTTTCTGTTTTCAAAAGAGGACATGTCAAATGCTATTCATAGTGGCAAACTCGAGAAAACATTACATGACATAGATTCTGAGGATCTTGTTCTAGAGGTTCAGGGCTGCTGTCCATTCTTTTCCTGATCATGTATCTTCCTCCCCAAGAGAGATGCTGGATCACATTTACAAGAAACAGCTTCTGGATCTCTATGGAAACCTTAGCATAGCCCTTCATCTACGATTAACTCTCCCAGTCACTGTTGCCTCTGGAGAGCGAAGCTTCTGGGCCCTAAAACTCATCAAAACTTATCTCAGGTCAACTATGTGCCAGGAGAGACTTTCAGGACTCGCTCTTATTTCAATAGAGCGCAAGGTGCGAAGTTCTTTGGATCTGGCAGACATAGTAACAGCATTTGCACTAGCCAAGGCCCGTAAGCAGCATTTGTAAAATCAGTGCTCAAACAGCGTGGATGAATCATGATCACCTCCTTCTTAATGTGTGTTTTTATTTAATAGGAGAACTTTGCAGAGTAAAGATACTTTGTACTGTATTTGATTTAGTTTTTACTTGAAGTTACTTATTTCTTTGTCTTGTATTTTTATATTGTGCCAACTAATTGCACTCTACTGAATGCTAACTTTTTCAGTTGTTTTGACTTAATTATTTTATTATATTAGTTTTCATTGTTCTGTTTATCATTGTTCTTTATATTTATATTTGTTAAATGGTAATTTTTATGTTCAATGTTTTTTGTTTTAATTATGCACATTTAAGCTTTAGAAAATAAAAGTGTTAATTATTTGCAAAAAATGTTTGTTGTCCGATTATTTATAACATGATGGTGATATACGCTGATTAGAGGGGCCCTCTGTGAATTTTTGTCTAGGGCCACAGCAGACTCTAGAATTGCCCCTGGCTGCTCGGGGAAGTCAAACTTAATTTGCTGTTGAGTAAGGTCCTCCAGCTTTGCCACTGAGACACATCACTCTGATTTGGAATGTTTTCCCTTTTTACTGGAATCTCTGCTTGTGAGAACACTTGGGGCAGTTCTATGAAATTGTTTTTACCCAACCCGCTGACCTCGAGCCCCTTAACAACATGTGTGCTGACTGTTCCTTCTTTTCCCATGGTGCGGAGCATAATGTTGGCCTTTTTACCTGTTACTTTAAGGTCTCTCATCAGCTCCTCCGTACAGAAGGTTCCAATACTGCCCGGGTCTAGAAATGCATATGACTCGACTGTTTTATTGCTCCTCACACATCTGCCCTTCACTGGAACAATAGACTGTGCACAGGCTGCTTCCCTGGCCCCAGTACAACCGCAAGTTTCACTTTCTGTTGTGAGAGAAGAATTTGAAACTGGTTGCTTGACATTCCTGCTTTAACCAACAGAGGGAGCTAACTCCTCTTTACTTAAGTGCAGGATGGTGGGATATTTCAGAAAACATGTTTGACAAATGAGCCTTTGTTGACAACCTTTGCTCAAATGCCCCTGTGAGACATCCAGAGCATAAACCCTTTGACTTTAGAAATTCAAGTTTTCCTTGTGTGACTTTTGCTTGATGAACTTGCAGAAATCCAGTTTATGCCTTGTTCTGTGACAGAAAAGACACTGTCTCTCACTTGTGCTGCCAGTACTTTCCTTTTCCTTTCTTGCTTGCTCTGTGTGCTTTGGCACAGGTTTGACATCTGTTGCAATCCCTTGACGAGGTGTGCTCTTGTATGTTGCCAAACAATGGATGAGAAGCAGTTTTTTGCCTGCTTGTCCACGAAGCTCCAGATCCAGATCACTGAACCTGGCTCTCCTGCCTGACCTTTCCTGGATATCACAAGCAACTCCCCTCCACTTATCTCAAAACTTAAAGGGAAGCGTGGAAATGATTGCTCTCATATTAGTAGGGCTATCCATTTCTTCAATATAGTCCATGCTGTCAGCTTTATTACAGCAACTTGTGAGGAACAGAGCAAACTCTGTGAGCGCTTCTCCATCTTCTGATCTAATAACAGGCCATCTTAATGCTCTTTCAATGTAGGCAGAGGCAATAGTATATTCATTCCCAAAATGTTTGTTCAAGAGCTTCTTAGCTTCTACATAGCCTCTGTCAGGATGCATATGTGAACAAATCAGAACGAGAATCTTAGGTCTGCCACGGGTGAACTGCTTAAGGAAATGCAGCCTATCCCGATTGCTGTCTGTCTTTTCCTCAATCCCGTGCTCAAACGCTTTCATGAAGAAACCAAACTCCAGGGGATCTCCGTTAAAGACTGGGACATTTAGAGGTGGGCGAATGGAGACTTTTTGTTGCTTCACTAAAAGTTTAGTAATCTCATTTTGTCGCTCCATGACATTTAACAAATCTCCAATATCATCAACTGAGTTGATGAGGTGTTGCATCTCTTTCAGAGCTATGTTGCAGTCTGATTTTCTTTGTTACATCTGGCCTACTCCTTTGGCAGAAGTCTACACATTCTGACTGCACGGCTCCGATGCTGCCTGCCCTAAGATAGCTTACAGCATTTAGGTATGAAGTAATTCCATCCTTGGAAACAGCAGAAGTGCTATCAGCTGGCTCTTTTACAGTTAACACCTCCAGTTTTGCACTAGCTGCAGCACTAGCTGTCTGCAACTCCCATTCCTCCTTTCTTGCTTTCAGCAAAGCCTCTTTTCTCACAATTTCCAGTTTTTGTTTCAATGCCCCTGCACATCCTACCAAGGATGCCCGTTCAGCTTCTACTTTAAGTCAAGCAGGAGATGTAGTTGTGGACACACTTGAAACAGACCGGCCACTTTGTGATACACTACTGTGTTTGACTGATGATATCATTGAGGCACTATCTGTAGGTTCTACCTCAGCATCCATTATTTTAGCGTCATCTGCCTGTTGCTGAACTTCTCCCAGGCTAGCATAAGCATGTGCTCCGGCAGCATGCACCTAATTAACATAAATGAACTCCATGAGTCGCTGTTATCTTTCCACTTGCGGAGCAGTTTTTCTGACTTAATGTAGTGGCAACTGAACTCAAAAATCATCTTGCCACTTCTTGCAGGATTAGAAGTTTCTAACTCGTGCTTTCCAAAAGACAAATTTCCATGTAATCCAATGTTGAAATGAGGCAGATTTTAAATGACAAAAAAGACGATTTATTCCTCAAAAATTGCAGGTTACAAAATAAACGCACATCTCTTATAAATATCACACGTTTACTACATGAAAACCTCTCAGATTTGCTTAAAACTAAAACGGTGACGGTCAGAAAAACTGTTGCTCCTCGTCCTGCTCTGTAGAATACTTACTCGTCGCAGTGTTGCCAGATGGAAAATACAGCAATATCGTACTGCAGCTTTAAAATGATCGTATTTTACTGAAAACTATTGTACATATTTAAAAAAACGAGACGGGTCCTAAATACCGCACTGAATGGCAAAACTATGGCCTGCACACCACATTAATTTAAATAAACAAACAAAGAGAAACTTTTAAGTGTAGGCTAAAATTTTTGCAAACTGCTCTGCCTCCAGCCGCTGTTAGCTGAGCTAGTAGCTACATTATTGTTTCATTGAAATTACCCCCGAAGTAGGTGACAATAAGCAAGTTAATTTCTTTTATATTAAATCAAAATTTACCTCAAAAGGTATGGAATATTATCCCAACATCACAGAGTAATTATATTCTGCTATTTCCAGAGAAGGAGGTGATAAATGGCTGCTAATTTCTCAAATACATTTCAAGTAAAGTAATATGAAGTTAGGCCCTTGGTTCCTTGTAATTATAATTACCTTGGAAATGTTAACTAAATAAATGTATTCAATTTCCCAATAAGCAGTTAGCTACTTATTTTTTACTTATTTTTTACTATTTTATATAGTTTATATATAGTATATATTATTACCAAGTTTGTTGATATGCATAATTGAGATCACATGCAAAGTATGCAACGATATACCTTTGTAATTAGGCCTATATTCTTTTACATGGACATGATAGCATAGGGTTGTGAGAGTGGGGCTCTAAATTGGCCTTACCTGATTGTGATAGGCGATGCGTGTATAGGCCCATTGCAAAACAGAATCTGGCCAGGCACAGTTGACAGCCTTGTTGTCAAATGATGGCATAGTTGACTTACCTTATATGCAACTTCTGCCTCATAGTCGAGTAACTGAGTTATTAGTTTAACTTCTAACAAGTTTCTGCCTATAACTTCCGCTGATCAGGCCAGTTTAACTTCCTACTAATTTTGCACAGCAGACTGCTAAAGTGAAGTGAGTTGTTGCACCTTAATTTGTTTCTGCCTAATTTCTGCAGAGCGGACCGCTAAAGTAAAGTGACATGGATGACATTTTTTAATGTATATGAACCATCTCAGGATCATCTCCAACTCAATGTCAGTGTGTTCTAGACATGTTGAGGATCTAAAGTCGAGCGAACCATGATTCTACCTCAAAGGGTGTGGCTGCAGCCTATACTGTCAAACTATGATGTCAAAGGTATTCAGCACAGAAAAAGAAAATAAACTTTCTGACTCAGAAATGGAGGAGCTTGTGAATGAAGTGAAGGTAAGAATGGACATATCGGTAGTTTACTGCAGCAGGTGGGTCACATAAGAAAAATCAGAGAATGACACCATGTAAATGCTGCTGCATTTACGCTGTCCTCTTCCAGTGCCAAAACATCCATCATTATGCACGAGTATATCTGCAATGTTTATATGTTTACGGGACCCACACTGATTTCTTCATATATTGTCAGAGAGGTCACTTCAGTCAGTAGTCCCCCTCCCTCTATTATATTAATAAAAGGTTTGATCAATGAACAAAAACACATTTTAACATGACAACCTAGATGTGTTCTGTGACCAATTATGAGCATATATAGACCTAATGATCGTGTCAGAGATGCCCTGACTTAATATCCACACTTTAATTATTTACAGAATAAATACCTACAGGTGCTGAAGATGTGCTGAGTAACAAGAAGGCAAAATGTGTGAAGTCACCGCTGCTTCTCTGCGTTCTGTGCATCTTGCCGCTCAGTCATCCTTATTAAAACTAAAAATCACACTTGATGATAAATGCACTATATTGCATGTGTTTAAATAAAACTGCAGGTCTTAATGATTATGATGACCACGAGCTGCAACACGTTTTACTGTTGTGATCTTATGGTCACATTGCTTTTTTAAACCCTGAATGTAAAGAATTTTGATTATATTAAAGCTCAGAGTTTACAAGTTACACATCACAGATGTTTAAATTGAAAATTAAAAACTCTGCTGGAGTTCCTATCAAAGTTCTTACCTCAGGAAACTTCCTGCCCCGCTCCTGTCTGACAGGAGGAGTCTCCAGCTGTGCAGGAGAAACAGCCAGGTCAGGAGAAAATCCGGAGCACTCCTGAAATGATCTACATATTTTCAGGAGTGCATATGTGAAAATGCCTAAAGACGGCACTTTGCAGCACACTTTGCAGCTGTGCATCATGACAGTGCTAGCCTGAACCGCTCTGCATATAAATATTCTGTGATCCTCATAGCGTTGCCTGTTCGAACTTGCGAGTACTACAAATTTTACACAAATCAATCTGTACAGCCCACTGCTGCTGGACTCTCGCTTGCGGTTTTTATAATTCTTGCATTTCAATAGGGTCCTTTGCACCGTTAGTGCTTTGGGCCCTCGTTATGCCTGCTGATGACATGGCCAGGGGGGAGCATATACAGTAGAGGGTGAAAATGGTCGGGCCATGGACCGATCCATGAGGGACCCCACAGGTGACAAGGTGTGTCCAGGGTTTTACATCTGCCAAGGAAATACAATTTCATAAGAGAGATAAGACTCGAAACATTTTAAGGATAGTGTCAGAGTCCAATGGTGCTGTGTGGGTGGTGCAGGAGGATATTGTGATCGCCCGCATCAAATGCCACAGTCAAGTGGAGGAGGATGAAAAGAGATTAGGAGACATCAGAAAGACTGCCATGAATTGAACATGTTTCAAAAAAGTTCTTGTCTCTTTACCAAATTTTTTACCTTCTAAAATTGAATGAGGGTTTTTTTTTCATTATATTAAACTTAAGAGTTTTGCATAAAATTGCAAAATTAGGTGCACATGAGTTGACTAACAGGTGGGCGCTTTGTAGCTGTTTGCCAAGAGGCTGCAGCTCAACCCCAGCTCCACCACTTTGCCTGCTTCTTGATTGAAAGTCAGCTGAAAATAACATTTCCAATAAGGCAACCACCACAGTTTAGCTTCATAATGTAGCCTAAGAGTCTTTAAGACACAACACTGGTCCAACAGTTTACCACTTGCTTCCCCTCTGATGTCAGCCCAAAACCACATAACTCCTCTTTTCACTGTTCTTTGTGGATGAAAAAGGGTATCTTAAATTGTGTTTGAAAGACATATATTTCTGGATTTCCATTACATATATTAAAAAGAAGAAACATGCTTGTGTGCATCTGCACTACATCATTATACCTTATTTATCTATTCGAAGATTTTTTCTTACATTTACATAAAAGGACATATTTTTGTGAACACTATATATATATATATATATATATATATATATATATATATATATATAGATAGTCATTCACATATAAATCCAAAAATATATTTGTGAATCTTTCTTTGTGCATCCACGTTTTGTGACTGATCTGATGATTGTCTAAATGTGTTCTACTTTAAAGCACTTTCAACCTCAAAAGTGCTTTTTAGATAAAAAAATAATATATATATATATATATATATATATATATATATATATATACTAATTAAAATAAATAGAAATAATGCAATAATAAATATTAAAGGCCTTGAAAAAAAGGATTGTTTACATTCAAGATGACACATTTAAATAGTCTTTCTGATGCTGTTTTGCAGGAGGGACGGGGATGACAAAGCCCGACCAGTCGTCATCCATCCTGCCATCTTGGGCTCAAAATTCTAATCACTCACATGGCTCAGTTTAACTTCACTCTGGGTGAGAAATTGTATATTTTATAGCACTTCACATACTTGCTCTCTCTGGGTGGCCTGCAATTACCACAAAGGTACATTTGTTTACTTCCAGTCACATCACAGTCTATTTTAAGATTTTTTAAGACCGCTTAATGCATGTCTGAGATTCTCACATTTGTTTGACCCTTTTTACAATGATTGGGTTACTGAGTCATTTGAAATGTGCTGTGTCTAATCAATAATTAACTAGAATGTAGGAAAAAACAAGGAGCCTACATTTGGTCCTATATTTGACTGTTTTTTTTTCACCATTAGAATATTAATTCTAATTCTAAAGTCTCACTGATTTAACATAAAAGAAAATGGATATTATAGCTGGCCAACTACCTGCAAATGTTGAATTCACAGTCACAAAGCAAGGCATGTGGGGGTATGTGTGTGTGTGTGTGTGTGTGTGTGTGTGAGTGTGTGTCAAGCTGTTATGTCCTCATGTGTCTTGGCAGTAGTCAGAGAGATGGAGAAGCTAACTAACTACGTCAATGTGCACAGACATACGTAGGTTAAGGAATCTTAAGTTTCCATTGCATAATTCTACAGTTGTTAGTCTACATATTAAAATACATCTTAATGTATCAATTTGATAGAGCTAATTGGGTCAGAAGATAAAAACCTGTTTCTCTCATGGTTCCTCTTACCATTTTAGAGCTCTTTTGAGAAGTGATAGTGATCAACAATATTCTGAGACAAAAAAAAACCCATAAAACTAAACACGATATTTAGACAAGATATAGAAGAGCATACAAATAAAAACGTGTTGAAATTGTTCAAATGTAAACAGTTTAAAATATATGTATATTTTTGAAATATCTCTATTTGACAGGTATCATAATACAATAATCATTAAGGACAATTATTATTATTTATTTTTTGGTAGCATGACACATACCTCCCCTCCCCGCCCATACATATACACACGCAGACATGCACACACACATAGACACATAAATTACAATAACATAACCATACCAGGGGGCAAAAGGAAAAGACACAAAAAAAAAATTAAAATTAAAAAACGCAAAAATAATATAATAATACTAAAGAAAAATAATGATAATGATTAAAAAAATATATAATAGTAAAATAAAATAAAAACAACGATATAACAGTATCTATATGACAGTTTAAAATATAATTTAAAGGGTTTTGTGGGCGGAGCGTGTTGGATACATAGACTGTAGGTTGGATATGACAACCATGGTGACAACACGGGGACGAGGACGTTCCGATGCTTGTCATGCTGTGCATGTCAGGGGACATACAGTAAACACCTTTCAAAACCTGAAATAATGTTTTCATATTTAATTGATTGACTTGTAGCAGTAGATGGTGTGACAAATATTAACTTAAGATAGCCTACGAAATGGTGAAAATAGCATTTAGACTGTTTGGTCAAAACAATGCAGTTATAATGATCAACATTACCGTCAATGATTTTAGTGGATGTTTACTGTGTTTACTTTTTTACAGAGACGCATTTACCAGCTTTAAAATTGCTCACCTTCTAAAACATTGACTCTAAATAATGTTATTTGCACAAATAATGTTATACAGTCAATGCTCTGAACCCAGTGCACCGCTGACTACTGCAGTTTCCTACAGTCCGTGAACGCAGCTGTTTTGCTGCAACAATGGCCGCTGCCTGTCGGACATGGAGACCGGACCGAGGACGGTGCTTCAAATCCTACGGAATTGCGGTCGTTTTGTTGATGGACATGGCTTTACAGTGTGCCCACGGTATGTTGAAGGAGACAGAGACCGGTTTATATGACCAGTAGATGTTTGGGACTGGATTATTTCTCGGTATTCGTCTAACGTTAGCTAAAGAGTTAGCATTTACTGGTTAGCCAGCGAGGTGTTGTAGCTAGCTCAGATGTTTGTTTTTAAAGTCTTTCATCACTTCTACATGTTCAGGTAAAAATAATCATCAACCATACGTTTTTGGCCTTCTTATTGTTACACACTCAAAAAGCCGGCCCTGGTTTTCTTGTGTATTTGTTTCCACATTATTTTGCACATGATTTGTGGTTCTGTAACTGTGATTATATCAGAAAGGGATCTAATGACCTTTGACCCTAACCAGGTTATCTGAGCTCTCCTCATCTCGGCCAGGAGCCGCACTACACCAGAGATGCTCAGCATGGACCTGTCATCACCAGCCCAGTGGTCCCTGCTGAAGCCTCAGGTAAACACAGCATGAATAACCTGACACTACTGTTTGTTTTACACCACATTATTACTGAAGATCTACTTTTTTATAGCACAAAACTACAACAGCAATACAAAATCATGCATGTGACCCAAGGATGGGCAACTTTGCTCACAGCAGGGGCCACATTAATTTAATTCTCACTGCCAGAGGGCCAAATTGTAGTTTCCATAAATGATTACAGTCAATTATGTCTCAAATTTATCTCAACATATACCAGTGATCAAATATTATTATGGACATGTTTCTGGTTTTCATGATTTCATGGCAGATTTTGTCATGTTGTCTTCATGTTTTTAATTAATTGATATGTCAGAATTGAACTGAGGGCCACGTTGAGGGTTGATGGGGGCCGCATGTGGCCCCCAGGCCGCCAGTTGCCCACCCCTGATGTAACCCATAGATGTAACCACAGTCTCTGGTTCATGGCTCATTGGCAATTCATCAGATTTAACTATTTGCAAACAATTCCTTTGTTGAGGTTTTGACAAGGTAATTACTTTTCAGCAGTGTAAAAGCATTCTTTTCTTTTCTGGCTGGAAGCTCATCCCACAATGGAGCAATCAAGAGTTGTGCTGCTTCACAGGCTCCTTTATTGTCCTTTTGTTGAGGCAGGATTGTTAGTCATTTACCCACCACAGCATTGTTTTCCCGAAACTGGCATGATGCAGTGATATCATTAACTTCAATCATCAACATTTTTAAAAAACATTTTGTTGATTATTTTAGCCAGGAAAGGAAACTCCTTTGACTCTCCTTTAACTATGTTTTGTGTTTTGCAGTGTCGCCTGCAGATGACGAGAGCTACTCTTCGGAGTGTCCCAGTGGGGGTGTGTGTAGTCGTCTGCCAGCTAAATGCATTCAGTGCAATTACCAACACAACTGCACCTACAGGAAACCAGCTACCTTTTTTTGTAAACCAAAACAAGGAGTTCACTGTGTAGTGAGTAGCACTTCATCTTGCAGTTTGTCTGTGTTCTGATATTGAAGATAAATGGTTGCAGATTTGATCATGGATGTTTATCCCTCATTTAGCTCTTCTTAAAAGGTCATGAAGTGTTTGTAGCTGTTTTGTCAGCCTGCTATAAGTCTTTGAAATTATCTTTGACAAATAGGTGTGATGCTCTAATTTGGAACAGCTGTGGGAAAATGACCTGCTGTCTTTTGTTCTTACAGGGTGAGTCGGGACAGCAGCAAACCAACTTCTCTCTCTCCATCAGCTGTCAGTTTTGCTGGCAGCTGGATGAGTCCCAGTACCGCTGCTCTAACTCTACAAACTGTATGACGGTGTCCTGCCCACGCAAGCGCTACAACGCCACCTGTGATGTGTTGGACCATGTACATTGTTTAGGTAGGATGAGACTTGCTGCAAAACCTGCTTGGTTACTATACTGCCATTCGGGTTGCTGTCTCAGTCTGTCATGTAGACGTAAATATTTTGAGCTGCTGAACTGTTTGCTTAAAGTTTACGACATTAATGACGTTTTCTGATCTTCAACAGTAAGTGTAAACAGACAGCCTGTAAGGGTTGTCCTTGAGTTGATTTGCACAGTTAAGCAGTGTGTGTTTTTTATTTAAGGTCACTAGGTGTAAACGTGTAAAATGAATAGGTCATTAAAATTTCATGAAAAAGGATTTTTGGAGACATAAGAGGCAAATGATTTTAATAAATGTACAAACTACGATGCATTTGTATTTCACAAGCTAATGAGCACTTCATAGTTTTTGTGGGACAATGTATTTTTATGAATGCAAAATAAGGCCAACCCAACCTTTTTGTGTAAAGAAATGTACCCACATGTTTTGATTTTGTAGGTTTTTGAGGCTATTTGTAAAAGGAAGATTGTGATGAGGTATTGCAGTATCCAGTGGTTGTAGTGTCACTTAAGTCTTGTTCACACTTGCCAGAACACTTTAAGAAATCCAGACGTTTTCAGGGTGAGCTGCATGTGTGAACGCAATCAGCCACACTATAATTTTCACTCAGACTTCATCCAGAGGTTCTCCTGCCAAAGTGAGCTGATGTGTGAACGCAGCAGGATGTAATCAGGATAATTCACCACAAGCGAGTGGGAAGGGGTGGTAATGTTTATTCCCTGCGATCGATGCACAACTATAGACTGTGTGCGCCCTACTGGTGTGATCGCCGTGCATGTAATGAAACTGCTGCGTTATGTTTTTCTGTTCTCTAGTATGTTCTTCTCCGCTCCTTTATTGACATTTTGATTCTGTCAAACTACACAGGCAAATATTCTTATTACAGTGTCGTATAGTGGACTCTGTTGCTTCATCAGCCACTTCCGCGTTGTTCATTTTTCATCTTGCCTTAGGAGACCCCCGCCCCCCCTTCCATCCGAGAGGGATAGTCTCCCGCTGTGAGGTGTATGTGTGAACAACCAGATCAGGAGGATTACAGGGGCAGTCCTCCTGACATTCTCTAGAAGTTTTCTGGTTTTGAGTTTAGTCAATTTGTTTGAAAAATGTTTTAAACATCTGGTCAGCTGTCTGAATCCACTGAATGTCTGCTTCTCTTGTAGGTAAAAGACGTTTTCAGAAACGTTTATTTTGTAACTGGACTGGTGGATACAAATGGTCAACAGCTTTGGCACTCAGGTAAAACCTCCCATTATTCCTCAAGAACGACGACCAGCTTGGTTGCTGGAAACCGTCTGTTGAATCATTTTATTGACTTAAAGCATGTTTGACTTTAAATGTTTTCTTTTGTCTCTCTGTAGCATTACCCTTGGTGGTTTTGGGGCAGACCGGTTTTATCTGGGCCAGTGGAGAGAGGGTCTGGGCAAACTGTTCAGCTTTGGAGGCCTGGGCATTTGGACTCTAATAGACGTTCTCCTGATAGGAGTCGGTTATGTGGGACCTGCTGACGGTTCTCTCTACATCTGAAGTCAAATTTGGAGATGGTTTGTGCCCTCCTCTGCATTGAACCACTTCACAAAAAAACGAAGATCTGAGATGCTGTGTTCTTTGCACGTCTGCCTGCCCAAGCTAGCTGTGCAACACATCCTCATCCCATCTGCTAACAGGCAGGAAGTGTTTCCCTCACTTTAGCAACGCTGACTCTACCCACACAATCATCAGATCAATCCCAATCACTGTGTGTCTGTCTCCTGCAGATGGAGCTGTGCAGGGGGATGAGAAACCAGTCATTACATCTTATCTGGTCAGTTTGACTAAACTGCAGGTTGGACTGTGTCATGCTGATCTATAGATAGGTTTGGTTTCCTGTGAAGCTGTGCTTTCACAGACATCCTGTCACCTAGGAGCTTTGTGAGGCTCCTCCCTCATTGCAAGGTAAATGCATCAGTGGGGGGGTCACATGGTTACCATGGAAACAGCTTTTAATGGTGACACCATACACAATAGACTTGCTGAAAGGTTATATCAGTTTCCTGAGGGAAGGCATGAATATGCAGATGGGAATATGTTGAGATGTTGACGACTGATGTGTGTTTCTGTTCATGATTCAACAGTTATTTGATATCTTATTATTTTTTTTACTAAAATGGGTCAGCCATGAAGGTCTCAACTGTAAGTCTGCATTAAAAGGCTTTCAAAAGATTTGCGATACTAGAAAAATGTTTGACAATGCAGGTTCACTTCTGAAGTTCATATGTTGTGTTAATAACTACACAAAGCGTTACCGTACATTTAAACAGCATCTAGAACTGTTGGAGAACAAGAAGAACAGCAGAGAGGGGAACAATGTATTCGTCTCATTAATGGAAAATGCACAGTTTATAATTGAACAGTTAATGTTTTAATATGATATACCCTGAAACACTTCTCATGTGTGTTACTTGCATATTGCTGATGCCTGTGGTTTCTGGTGTCTGAGAATATGAGACATCTTCTCTGCACCTAAATGCTATTCTCCCTTGCACCCGTTATCATTCTCCACATTGTAAATAAACGTGTATTCACACTGTAAGATATTTGCTTGGGACTGTGTGGCTGACCTCCCACTACATGTAAATATGTTTTTTTCCAAGTGTCTGGTCTTTTTTTGTTGAACACTGTAAATTGCATTTTTTTTATAATTTAAATTACATTTAAGTTATGAAAATAAAATTGTTAAAATATATGCATTATTTCATTGCACTTTACCCTACATGTCTTCTTGTTATCTAATAGTGGTGATTGTCATTTTCTGAAGGTCTCATATTCTTTCTATTGGGATCTTGAACATGGTGAATGCTTTGTTTCAAAAGGATGTGAGCTCATAATACTGCTCGTACACTGTACTCCTTGCAGCCTCTGATAGGAATTCAGAGCACTTTATTATAAGTCAGGTCATTCTCACAGATGTCTGTGCATTCTCTCTCATTAAACTCAGTGAATGGTGCCAGAGGCCTCTATTACTCACAAGCCTGTGACAGATGGAGGGGTCAGAAGGGTACCGTAGTGGCTGAGGAGCACTGCCTGCTCAGGTTCAGTAGATATGTCTTTGCTCATTTTGTTCAGTGAGAGAGTAAGAAAAAAAAAAAGTGTTTTCTTGCTGGTAAGTTCTTGTGTTATGTGTCGACTTTTCCAATTGGCTGCTCTGCGGAGTCACTTTCATACTAACTCCACCCTGATTCCAGTTCCTCAATTTTGACACCACCCACTCACAACCACTTCAGCTCCCTCCCACTGACTGATGCAAGTGTTTGTCATATGCTCTGTGCTGAGGGGGAGACTGAAGTGCTCACCTATATCCTGTAAGAAGTCTTTCTACCTTAGGGAAGCTTTAAATACTGACAGAAGACTCTGTAATCCATCTACACAATGATCCCTATGATTGTTGTTAATGACTGCTCTGCCGTGACCTCAGTATGATATACTGTCATTATGTTTACTTCCATTGCAAACTGACTTACTGACTGGACATGTCGAAACATACTTGTGTATAAACATCTAAATATGAGTTTATTTTTAACATGTACATCTACTTTTAAGTCCATTATGATAAATAATATAATTGTAGATTATTTTAACAGTAATCTGTGCGCACAGTAACACTACACAAACACACTTCTCCAGTACTAAGCCAAAGTATAAAAATGGTAGGTCTTAACAAATGTAGCCTGATCAAACATATCTAGGAAACCAAGCCAGTAGAAAATAACTGAATTGTAGCAATACGTAACTTTCTATTCATACACTAATGTCTGCTGACCAATTAGACATAATGGCTATAAGGGTTTTAGGTCCAGCTATTATCTTTTCATGATATTCCCTTTTTCTGTTTTTGAGAGTATACTTAATTACATTGACAGAGAACTCATTCTTATAAGGATAATAGTTTAATTTTAAGGTAGTTATGTTATTAGTCATTATTCACTTTTAGAAAACACAGTAATTGGCAGTTCAGCCAAAATATTGTCTGTTAAAGACACAGTGTCAGGACTTCCTGATTTTGAATAGCTTATTAAAAAAAGGAGAACAAAAGTTTATTCACTCCTCTTACGCAATCCCACTTACAGTCCCTCTGCAGCTCTGAACGTTTTAGCATCGGTTCTGACCCTCAGTTTTCAGCCTGTGTCCGCCCATTGTGCTCACTCCTAAAGGAGATTACATCTCCAAATTAAAAGTGGATAAACAAAGCTGTAACCACATGAATTCAAAAGTCTAAATGCTCTACAAAAACGGCCAGCTGTGTGTACGCCTTCTTCTTACATTTGGACTGTTCTAAGGAGAAACCATCTGAGGACAGGGAGAAATTACCTGTTAGTTGAAAGTATGCACCACCCTTGGACTTCTTTTTGTTTTATAATGCAACATCGAATCACAAAGGATTATTATTTTTTTCCAAACTTAGCTGCAGAGAGGACCATTTTCTTTACAAAGTAAAAAAAAAAAGCTTGACAATGTGATCTTATGTAGAACATATAAAAGAAAAAATAGTGATTGTGTAACTGCTAAAGCCCCTCCCAATGGCATGCAAACCAACACTACTGAAGGCAATGTTTTTAACGTCCCATGATTAATATAATGAAGAACACCTGTGTGTGTGTAACAAGAAATAAGTGATTTTAAAACTGACACACCTTTCTCTGATGTTCTGATAACTGGTTAGTTAATGACAGGACACTCGAGATACATTTTCAACAAAACCTTAGGAAAGGACCCGCCAGAGCGCAAGGATTCAAGGCAATTTGGCATTGAATACCCCTAAAATGCTCTGTCCTAAAAAAATGATATTTCTGTCTGATAAGAGCATATAAACAGACACACACGGCTGCCAGCGTGAAGCCTGGTGGGGTGGTGGCGTCATGCTGTGAGGACACTTCTCTGCAGCAGGTCCTAGAAGGCGTATGAAAGAAGAAATAAATGCAACAAAACAAGGACAAATCATGGGAGGAAAATTGGTTTCAGTCTGCAAAATAACTGGGAGATTATTTTTCAGCAAGACAACAACGCCAAACATACTGTTAAAAGCTAGATGGGGGTGAACCACATTCAAAACAACAATTATAAAGTCCAGTTTAGAGCACACATCTAAATCCAATTGACAGTCTGGGTAGAATTTAATTTCAGTTGATTCTCCATACACAGGCAGAGCTGTAGCAGTGTAAAAAAAAGGGTATTTAAAGATGTTCAAACCTGACGGCCTCAATCACATGCACCAAAGCTTCTTTTAAAACTGGGCTGGCCTTGTTTGACATAATGTGCACACGTTTAAAAGGTACCTTGTATGTGTCACAAACATCTTATCTGTGCTACATTCAACTTTGTCAAACTAAAGAAGCCATTGGGCATAGAAAACTATTTACACACACGCCAAGATACAGGCAGTCTGCATTAATGTCTCATGGAACTAGTCTGCTACACCGTTTTGTGCATTCTGTCTTCTCATGCAGGGTTGCTGTTGCTTATAAGCCATCATTTCCCTCTTTTTATTCTCCCATCTGTGCTTCCCTTTTCAAAATCTGTGCCAACTCTGCTCTCTACTGGAAAGCTCCTTCAGTCCTGGCAAAGCAACGATATCACACTTAGATCCTGCCTACATATTGAAGTAAAAAAAACACAATTGGTTTATGGATGTTTCAACCCACCATGACTACCTGAAATGTGTCAAAAACAAAAAGGAAGGAAGTCTTATTGCATTTTTAGTGATTTATTTGTACAATAGGAATTGCACTGTACAAACATTCCCGGTTTAGATGTAAAGGCAAGAACATACGAGCACTCGTTCTGCCTGACCTGATCCCTCAAACCTCACTGCAAGCGCAGACTGATGGAAAAAAAGATATGCCAAAACAAAATAAAATAAGGCTAAAAAATAAATAAGCAGACATCTGCTGAACAAATAAACATTTACAGGGCTATAGAGACCCCTACCAACAAAGTGCCAAAAGGTACTGAAAATACTGAAATTAAAAAAGGCAAAATAAAAACAAAAAAAATAAACGTCATGTCCTGGTTTGACCGTCTAACCTGTATGGCAGTGGAGCTATTATGGCCTCAGTTTAAATAGCATGTAAAAATGGAGCTCACAGTAGACAAATACAGAAAAAGGCATATGGTGATACTTCTATCAAGTCCATGTGCCTATGTCACTTAAACCAAGAACACATTTACACGCCATCCACAGACACACAAGACAGAGGACATTTTTCAATTCAAATAAAAGTGGAATTCCCTCTCCAACCTGCCCCATGTTGAACAAGATTAGACAACAGTGGAGATGACATGGTCCATTTTGAAAAGCATTGTCAATTTACATTCACTCAAAATTCCCATTGGTAAATCACTAATGTTACCATGGTAACTGAAAAAGTCGTATAAAAATATAACAAAGACTGAAAACTGATGCACTCAACAAAAATATATCTACACAGTCTCAAATGCTGGGCGCGGGGGGGCTGAGTGACATGGCCAAGAACAGCTCAAATATCCAACCTATCACTACACACTTCTCAGGAATGCATAAGGGAGCTCCACACACTAAGTCTGAGTGGCGGCCGTCTTCCCCCTCTCGGCAACAGTGACACAGTGAAAGCCGCGTGTTCCGTCAGGACCCCTTGGCAGCCGAGTTACGCCTGGTGGTAGACCGTCAGCATTCTGGATCTTTCTACCCATCATGGGGCTGCCGACTGGACTGCTCTCCTGAGACGCCACCTGCTTACGCCGCTGAACCCACGGGCTCCCTGAAGGAGTCAGGCTACTATCCGAGGAGTAGTCTGCCCAGCGGCGGCCGGGCTCCGGGCTCAGTCTTCCCTCGCTGGCTAAGGGGAACTTGTGGGAGTGAGGAGATTTGCGCTGAGGACAGGGGCTGGCACGGGGACTGGACCAGGGACTGTTGCGCGGGGATATACCAGGACTCAAGTGATTGTTCTGGAAACTGATGCCTGCGGTGGTAGGACTGAGCTTGTTGCAGGACTGAGACTTCCGGGCTAGCCTAGGGGACGTGGGGTTGCTCTCAGTGTCCGAGGAGCTGCAGGCCGAGTCGTCCCCGTGGTACTGCAGCTCTCTTACTCGGCTGTTGAGCGAGCGACTTTTGCGCATCCCTCCTTCCTCGCGAGGTCGCTCTTTTGGCACCTTCTTCTTGGGTGGCTTGGTGCCAATCAGGACTACTTTCAACCCCAGAGAACCCGCCCCTCCATCCTCGTTCCCCACAGCTTCATTGGCTTTGACAGCAGCCTCAACTCCTCGAACTCCACGATGGCACACTCCTCTGTGCCGAGCTGTGCGTAGCGGCTGCTCAGCCTCTTCAGGTCCGCCGGCAGGTCCTTCCCCGGCTTCAGGACTCGGACAGAAGCGATGGCGCCATACGTTCCAAACTCCTTCAGGAGCAGCTTCATCAGCTGCTCCTGCTGAATGGCTCCACCTTCAATGCCTCCATTGTCTTTAGTGAGAGCAGCCAGCTCCGGCCACCTCTGCAGATCACTCAACAGGAGCATGCGGCTGGGCAGTGATTCGCTGGCAAAGACTGGCACTGTAGATTTA